GCCGGTTTGGCGAAAGATACCAAATCGCGACATTCAGAAATATGTCATCGGCGTTTATCGGGGCCAGACACCGTTCGCGTTGGCAATGCGATGTCGAATCGGATGCGGTATGTACGAAACACCATCTGTCATATCGGATTGTTAACTCGGTTATAGCTCACGCATATCAAATCGTTCGGGGTGCAGCTTAGCCCAGAATGGGCAGCGCAGTAATGCGATTTGGATATATAGAGAGTCCTGTGGGATATTACCAGCGTGGAACCTTTTCCCCAATGATACGATAAATGATATGCATATGTAAATATCGTGACCGCACAATGCGAGTCACCCTAACATGCGCAATAGACCGGTAAAAAATATATCTCGAAACCCCGGTCGCTGCCCGTCGGAACGCATCTTAATACATTATTTAACTGTAACTGCACAAAGTATTTCGACTTAATTTCCATATAGCGCTTTATATTTTTCTTTTATAAGAAATTACATTACGTATGTCCCAGTTATCAATTACTTTGTGTAATACTTCAGTTTTAAATAGTATTACACGAAGAAATGATTTTCTGAAAAAATTTACAGTTCTATTGGTGCCACACACAATTCTGAAAATAATTTTGTTGAATCATTAAAATATTTACGTTATAAAAATTGAAAAATAATTAGTAATGCCGTAAAAAATTGTGATATCATCAACCAGTTTGAGTTTCCAACAAAATTAATTTCTGATCTCTCTCTCTCTCTCTCTCTCTCTCTCCATCCATCAAAATTTTATTTTTGAAAAATTATTCTTTTCGTGTAACAATAATAAAAAGCTTCGTCATTAAATGACTTTTGATAAATTTTATGGAGAAATATATATAAACTTGGGCGGCAGGCAATAAATTCATTTTGTATTTGTTTGATCGAATTGTTGAGATAATATTCGTGCAACGCGACAAGAAATCCAAATGTGCCTAATTTTCTCTCACGGTCCTATCGACGATGCCAGGATGATCCTGTTAACAGGATCAAGACTCATGCTAGACGAAGGGTTCTTATTATTCGCAATCGCCTTCGCACCCGATCCTTGGGGACCGCAGATCCCCTGTATTTATTTCCCGCTACTTCATGAGGATCATCCTAAAGAGTTGGATGTTCATTTGTGGCTGCACAATAAAAGAAATTATTTACTTTTGCTTGAATAAAATTTTATCACGAAATATACTTGCAACGTTTTAATAATACATTATTATAAAAATATCAAATTAAAAATAAACTCTAAAATTCAACTTGAATGTACATAAACTAATAACATATAAAAATATATAGTTAATGAACATTTTAGGTATAGTATATGTCATGCAGAAAAATCTACTAAATTAAAGATGAAACATCTTTAATTAATTTTAATTAATTATGAATTATAAACGTAATGTAATTGATAATTAAATTGTTCAGAATTTATAAATTCAAATAAATAATAATAATATTAATCAATGTTACAAACAATAAAGGTTAATGAGAATCAACCGTAATAGATGTAATGGCGAAGTTTTTAATAAAATTGTACTGAAGTTCTTTCTACAATCTCTTTATATATTTCCTTTTCAAACGTTTCGACTCATTTTGGAGTCATCCTCAGCGAAATCCAATAAAGTATATCACCATTGAGAGTAAACCATTTACAAATTGGCAGATATAAAGTATTCGTTACACTGCACACATTAAATAACATTTCTTATATTATACAATTTCAAGACTAATACTAATTAATCATGTAACTCACCTCAATAATAAAAAAAAAAACAACAAACAGAAGCTCAAGGAATTACTTACATCAATTATAAGATGACATTATGTCAATAATTTTTTCTTTTTACTATTATACAATTAATCAATGGCCAAATTCAACAAATTCCGCTACGAATTGCTTCCCCATTCAGCATATTCGCCAAATTTAACCCGCTGCGACTATTTCCTATTTCCAAACCTGAAGAAATGGTTCGGAGGAAAGAGATTCACCACCAGAGAGCAGCTCATCGCCGAAATAGAGGTTTATTTTGAAGGGTTGAATAAATCATATTATTCGGACGGCTTGAAAAAGTCGGAGAATCGTTAATCAAGAGTATCGAGCTGAAAGGAGACTACATTGAGAAATAAAAATGAATCGATCAAAAAAATGTGTTTTTACTATGTTTTTCTAAAAACTTGCCCTCGTATTGCAAAAAGTTTTGATGACATTCTAAAAATCTGATTGAGTTATCCTATATAATTATCTTAATGGACTAATATAAAATTATTTTCAGATCTGTATCCAGCTAAAATTTTAAATACTTCAACAAAATCGTCCATGTAATTTATCATTATTTTGTCATCATTTTTATTTTCATATCTAATATTAATTAGATACCTATAGAAGATATTTTTTTTATTATTCATTTATAAATTTATTATAAATGATTACTAATTATATATTTTTTACTTATTCTATATCTTGTATTTTCTCTCGAAAATTTTTGTACGTAGTACATTATAAACTTATATATTGTTAATTTTATTTTCACACCTAATATTAATTAAATGGAAATTAAATAAACGGGGTTGAGCGTAATGAATTAAATGACGGGGCGACGTGCTCACTTCCGCGATGCGCGGATTTTTGTTTTTCTCTCTGTAGAATGTAATTTAAAATTTTCATCTCGGAAAGAGATCTCTTTAAAACATTCATCCGCCATCTGATATAAAAAATATTCCATATTCTTTTCCCTATGTAGATCGAGGAAACATTTGGCTCGACGATTATGTCTCTCTTAACGCGCGCAGTTGCGCGAAGTTGCAACTTTACGAGGCGTAAGTACGATGAAGCGATGGGACCTAAATTCTCAAAGCTATTTCGCAATTCGCTCATTCTTATACAGACATCAAGTTGAAGAGACTTCCGCCTCTTCATCTCGAGCACACCTTTATCGTCAGACTAATGATTTGCAAACAGTGTCTTTCAGCCCGTTCTTCTCGTTACGAAGTTTTCAACGGACGTGTTGGTACATGAACAAGGCAGACATCTTGAAACTTACGAAAAATAAAAGACAAAAGTAAAGGAAACCTACCATTAGCTCCATTTGTGTCATTGTACGAATTTTATTTACTTAAGTGCTTTCTTAAATACTGCAAAGAGCGAGTTACCAAAAAGATTATATAACAAATGTAATCTAGTGAATGTAATCCATAGTGAATGTATAGTGTTTAAATATGTTGTACTATATTTCATTTATACAAATCTCTTGTTTCCTTACGTTATAAATAAGAATTTTAATTAATTAATTAATTTTTATAGTTATACTGTAAAATGTTTTTTTTATAGAGATATTACAATTAAGAAATTTAGTCAAATATTTTTATTACAAAAAATATTTTCATCTTTTTCAAGAATAAAAATAAACAACAATATAAATCAGAAGAAAATTAATATTTTTACAATAAAAAGCAATAAATATTTAAAATATTCTTTATAACATTCTTAATGACTATTAGAATATTTTTTACTACATTCTTTACTATTATTATTAAACTTTCTATTTCCACAGTACTAAACTTTTTTTAAAGAATTCTTAGTTTATGATTATATGTATAATACGTACACTTGATACAATTTAATAAAAAAGATAAAAAAATTTTGTAAATACACACACATTATAATTTAATAAATAATATATGTATAAATAACAAATTTCATGTTGCATAAAAATCTTTTTAATATGTTCTTTATTTATATAATATATTTATTTTTGCTGATATTAAAAAATTTTCCTTTATTATGTGCACAATAGCGCCATCTCTTGAGGAAATACATTATTCTTTGCCCTAATGTAGAAAGCATGATAGAAGTACTCGTAAAGGGAATGTATATACCATCCCAAGGTCAACAGTAAACTTTATCCTTTTTTACAGCTGCAGCTACAATTATTAAAAACATAGTCATTAAATTGAAAGAATTGCACGTAACTTTATAATATGCTTTTTTTCTTTTTATAGCGCGACTCGACTAAAATAAAGGAATCAAAGAAGACATTTTAGTTGCGACAAAAAAAAATAATGCTAATTTAAATTAATATTAACATACTCTTGGTTCTCATGTGCAGTAAACATCTACAGCAGTGTTGGAATTTACTTGCAATTTCCAGTTTGTTTCCAGTCCCTTACTTTCACCAACCCGCGTGCAATTTAAATTCCGATCGACATAGGTTTTTTAAACGGAAGGTAGTTCAAAGATGATTTTAATAATGAGAAACCTATATATCTAGAATAATTTGTAACTGGATTCTATCCCAAATTTTCTCGTTCTAAGTTTTTTAATAATTGCTTATAAAATTATATATATTTGTAATTATACTGTTATGAATGAGGCTATGAAGTATTCCATAAATATAAAACACGTCTAGCTGTTAAAAAACTCACCAAATTGTCAAAATATATATTGAAAAAACGATATACAAAAGATACTTTCAATACTTCAATCAACTATATATAGTTTGATAAGTAAATGATTATATATGTATATAAATATTATAAAACGTATTATTTTGTGTGAGTGTGTGTGTATTGCAATATAATTGAGATTTTAATAGTGTGGATATAACCGAAAGTTTGATTATAATTTCTATGGTACCAAATGCTAATAGAATGCTAACGCATTACTCATCGTATTTTTTTTATTACACTTTGCACGTAAAAAAATTAAATAAACAAAGTTCCAATAATAATTAATAATTACTCTTTAAATACATTTCTATTGAGAAAATGACACAGGTGTTTGAGCCAGGTCTGTGGATTGATAATTGTAGAATCAAGTGTCGCGAACAAAATTATATAATGACGTCGAACGCATCTGCGTGTTTTGAAAGTATATCTCAATAATTGGATGTACATACATATTGTGTGCGCACGAATGAATTATATTCTTATTTATCGGTAATATCATGGTCAAACAGTTTGATAGGGTATATATATACCGTCTGTGCGAATAAAATTTCAATTACTGGAGAAGTCAATCCTGGTTACGAGGTAAGGATCAATATACTTCAACGATCAAATCATTTCGTATAAAAATGAACATAATATTAATAGCAATTTTCGCAAATGATAATATTTTTCGATTACAAATTGTGATACACTCATATATAATATTATCGTAACGGATGTTTAATTTTATTACAAGACACTCGTTAGATGCAACACTTGCACGTGTACATAGACTTGTATAAAAATAAAAATAAAAAATAAATTTGTAAAGAAACATAAGTTTACGTTTGTCGACGATAAATTTGCAGATGAATCGTTGCATATTGGTTCTCGCGGCGTTAGCTGCTTTGGCTTGGACTGCCAATGCAGAAAGTAAGTATATACATATATATATGTGTGTGTGTGTGTGTGTGTGTGTGTGTGTGTGTGTGTGTGTGTGTACAGAATGTCTCCTAATTATAATTTAACAACGTTCGTATGGAGCAGACTTGAGTCAAAAGATCTCATTTTGCAATTTTCGTAATAATTAGTAAGATATTAATTTCGAAGGATTTTAGGAAGCGATGATGTAAATATAAAATAGACATAGAACTTGATATTTTCAAAATTCTTTATGAAATATCTTAAAGGTATTAAAGTTGTCTTATGCGGTAATTTTAAACTATATAAAAATAAGAGCTGTTATAGCTTAACTAGTTGATGTTTGTTAATATGTATAATTTTATTATACAAATTATATAAAATTACGTTATAATTATTTTTATATATGTTATGTAAAAATATTTTAAACTATATAAAAATAAGAGCTGTTATAGCTTAACTAGTTGATGTTTGTTAATATGTATAATTTTATTATACAAATTATATAAAATTACGTTATAATTATTTTTATATGTGTTATGTAAAAACGATAAAAATTTTAAACATTATCGAATAACTGAAAAAAATTATAAAAATTACAAAATAGAGTATAATAGATTTTTCGACTCACAAGTCGAAGTTGTCAGTATAGTCTTCTCTATATAATCTGTACATGAGCACTGTACATGAGCCAATTATCACGAAATACACACACACATTATACATATACACATTAATTAAAGAAATAAGTTGAAAAGAGAGTTATATAATTAAAAAGGAATGAATGTATATTAATCGCAGTAATATTTTTTGAACCCTTTCAGATCAAGTTGTATGCTACTACGGTAGCTGGGCCGGTTATCGAAATTCCGATGGCCGATTTGACATCTCACATATTGATCCGAAACTTTGCACCCATTTGATCTATAGTTTTGTCGGTATCAATAAGAATGGCGATATCCGAGTTATGGACCCGTATAATGATCTTCCCGATGATTACGGCAAGAACGGCTTTGGCAAATTCGTTGAGCTTCGTAAAAAGAGCCCCAATGCTAAAATGATGGTCGCTATCGGTGGATGGAGTGAGGGATCCGATGGATTCTCCACTGTTGTTAACAATCCGAGTCTTCGTGCAAAATTCGTTAAGAATGCCGTTGCATTTGTAAAGAAATATCATTTCGATGGTTTTGATGTCGATTGGGAATACCCGAACCAACGTGGTGGAAAGAAAGAGGACTTGCAAAACTTTGTGAACGTGCTCAAAGAACTCAAGACTGAATTAAAAAAGAGTAATCTGCTTCTCAGTATTGCCGTTGGTGCTCCCGAGTCACTCGCCTCTCAATCCTACAAACCGATCAAATCAGTATGTGACAATGTGGACTTTGTCAATCTTATGACGTACGATCTAGCTGGTACTTGGGAGCAAGTCACTGGTCACCACGCTGGGCTCTATGCGCACAAGAGCGGACACAAACTCAATGTCGTGAGTGTTCTCGGATACGAAATTTGAAATTATTGAATGTTAATTTTGTTTCCATTGAAATATTTAGAGAGAACATTTATTTTTCTAGGACGCAGCTGTACAGTATTGGTTGAACAATGGTTGTTCATCTAAAAAACTAATCGTTGGAGTGCCATTATACGGTAGAGCCTTTACTCTCGCCGACAAGAATAAGCATGGTCTTGAAGCTCCTTCCATCGGACCAGCTACTGCCGGTCCGTACACTCAAGAAGGTGGCTATCTCGGATACAACGAGATTTGCGTACTATTAAAACAAGGTGGATGGAAAGTTGAACATCATAAAGATCAACGTACTCCATACGCTTACAAAAACAATCAATGGATTGGCTACGACGATAAAACGTAAGTGTACTAATGTGACTGACTCTCTCTTGCATTCCTTAGATTCGTATTGCAATTATTTTTACTAATAATGTAATATTCTTCAATTTAATTCTAATAACGTCATCTCTTTTTTTCAATCCATTCCCCTTAACGAATTAATAAGAAATTGAAAATAAACTGAAAAAGATTGACATGTTCCACTACACGAAAATAGATAACGTATAATGTATATAGAATATTCCATCTTAACATTCATATCGAAATATCTCAAAAAGTAAGTATAAAATATATGGAAAAACGTTTCAGATGAAAGTAAAATGGTTTCAAAGAGGTATTTTGTTTATGTTATTTTTTTCTAGATGGAAGAGTCAAAAGATATGAAAATCATTTCACTTTTCTTATGAAATTATGTTTTTTTTATATAGTATAAATTCTTATAATTATTTTGCATATAAAAGTATTAAAATCAAAATATCAAAAAACCAACAGTTTACCAGATATTTTTAATCTCAACAGTGCAGAACTTGCAATAATATTGCTATAATATTGTAGTAATATTGGTTCAAGTCTGTGATGTTGGGATAGTTTATTCTCGTAAATATTGAAATACAAAATATTAAATATTTTGCAAATTATTAATTTTAAAAAATTGTATATAATACTTTTATGAAAAAAATAATTAAATTAATCGATCTATATGTAAAGAAAATATATAATAATAGCTATTTTAAAAAATTATCTATTTTGCCTACATTTTTTTTAAACAACTGTGTGTTTTTATAGTTCTATTAAAGAAAAGGTTGACTACATCAAAAAGAAAAATCTTGGAGGTGCAATGGTATGGAGTATTGACACTGATGACTTTTTGGGAAAATGCGGTGAAAAGTTTCCTCTACTGACAGCACTGTCTAAGGGGCTGAAATAAATTTCGGTAGAATCAGGATAAATTGACCAAGAAACCATCGCAAACGACGCAAACTACAACAAACAACGCCTCCACTTATGACTGCACCTTCCAGTGATATTTACAAGAAAAAAGATTAAATTTGCGATAATTAAAATTACGATATGTTCTACCTATGCCCAAATGTCAACAGCGTTTTCTAATTATAAAAATTCAATTGTCTAAGTGGACTGGCCTTCAATCTCTAAATCAACGATTGTAATTACAAAATTCTTGTTCCTGAATGTAATTATCGATAATAGACGGTAACAAATGGTGATGTTGTACTATTCTATGACGTTCTACTTGTTGTACAGTGTGGAACGTAATAAATATAGACATGCTCTACAGTTCTGTCTACAGTTAAATAAACCTTTTTCTATGGCCAATATAGACATAATAGCTCATTTTAAGGAGTGTGATTTAGTTTTAAGGATTTTTTTTCTCAAAAACTGATTTATTTAAACAAGATAACAATGGATACCTTAATTAAAATATTTTCTTTTGTTTTATATAACATTTTCCCATCTTTCTGGCAAGAGATGGATTCCGCGACGATAAAAAGAATCTCTTTTGGAGTTGATCCAATTTTTAACAAATTTTTGCATATCTCTGAAATTATGAAAGTGTGTATCCTCTAAAACATGTTGCATCGAACGGAACAAGTGAAAATCAAATGGAGCAATGTCTGGAGAATACGCGGGGTGCGGTAAGACTTCCCATTCCAGCTCTAATAGTGTTTTGCTTCACTGATAATGTAACATGAGGTTGAGCATTGTCGTGAAGAAGGATCACTTTGCGTCGTTTACTCGCAATTGGTGATCGTTTTTGTTCCAATGCTTGCTTTAATTTGTATAATTGTTGTCGATAACGATCAGCGGTAACAGTTTCATTCAAATTTAACAGCTCGTAATACACAACACCTTCTTGATCCCACCAAATACACAGCAAAATATCTTTGATCATTGAGAAGCATCCAAGATCCAGCTTGACCGTTACGACATGTCTTTATCGGTATTTAATTAATATATACATTACATTTTATTAAGTATTTTTAATAAAAATCTTCTCTCCTTTACATCATTTATAAAGTTTTTATATTTATTTGCTATCAACAAATCAATTTAATAGTATTATTTTTATAATAATTTAATTTAACAACATAACTAATACGAATACAAAGCCTATAACAGTCTAGCTTGGATCTTAGTTGCTTATATATAATTTCGCGTGAATTTATATACTAATATGTGTAATCTTTCTAAACTGCGCGCCGACGCCAAAAGAGTCAAAAGAGCATCAATTAATTATTAAGTTATTAATCAATTTAAATTCGTGATAGTACTGCGATAGTTTATTAAAATTGCTTTTCAAGACCAACAATCGTTCGGCGCGCAGTTAGAGCAACTAGGATCCAAGCTAGGCTTTGTATTCATATTAGTTATGTTGTTACATTAACGGTCTTTAATTAAATATAATTTAATTTAATTTTAATTATGATATAAAACAATTATTAATAGATAATTTATGCAAATGACATCAAATCTCCCTACATAACACAGATCCATGACGGATGTCCTCTGAACGTCCTTGGAACATGTTCCTTAGAACTATATTATGTGGGTCATTTATGATTAAAAAATCGCAAAATCTCGTCTAGATAACAATTTGGAAAATCAATTGACTGTGATTTTAGATAAGAAATGGGAGCGATATTAATCATGAGATATCGACAAATGTATCATGATTAAAGCACTCTTTGAATACTTTCATGTCTTCTCTGCTTGTTGGTATACCGCTAATCGTTCAAGTGTATCACGGTATATAAATAAACATTGAATCGTACATAACATTATCTATATTTACTGATCAGTTTGAATTTATCTATCGATCGAAGTGCGTGTCTTGTAAAATGCATTAGGTATACGAAAAAAGTTTATATGATTTTTATCTATGATGATCTATATATTTCGCAAGACATGCACTTCGATTGATAGATAATAAAATAATAAATAGATAATAAATTCAAACTGATCAATAAATATGGATAATGCTATTCAATGTTTATTTACATACTGTGATACATTTGATTAGCGGTATATCAACAAGTAGAGAAGACACGAAATTATTCGAAGAATGCCTTGAAACAATTTATTTTCCATTATACATTCAATTATTTTTCATTATTGACATTGCGTAAACTTAAATGATCTTCAATTATAGGTCACTGTATCCGTCTTAAAATATTTTATCAGAATTTAAATAAAACAACATATCATTCTATTTAAAAAACAAATTTGTCCTTCGCCTATCCTTTACATCTCCACCTACAAAACAATTAAGGGGCTGGATTCTATAAGGAGATATACGCATGGATTTCGTGGGATAAGTATTGTCCGCAGGGCTAATTTTGGACATCGCTCTAATTTCAATTTTGACGACTAATTCTTGTAGAAAATTTCATAGCGCATCTTTTTTGTCTTTAAATCTAATTTGTAACTTTTTTTGTTTTCAATTTATAAACAAAAAAAGTATTGTAATTTTTTAAATAAAAAAATTTCAATAGATTTTTGTATTCAACTCGCTATATCTCAGACAAATATGAATATTTTTCTTTAAAATTTGAATAGGATAAACTTCGATATGTTTCTCGAAATATAGGGCATATAGAAAGTTTTCGAAACATTTCGCAACCAAATGCCAAATTTTTCAAAATATTCCTCTCGCATTCGTAGTTTTATTCATTCAATCACAAAAATTAACCCGTGTGAAGCTGGCCCCCCAATATTAAAAAATCGATATTTTTCTTCATGCATTCGTTTGCTCATCGTTTGCTCACGAATGCTCAGTTCGAATTTTCGTTTGCTCACTTTTTTAATATAAAAACATTAAGTATTTCTAAAATATTAAAAAATTGTATAATATTAAAGAATTTAATTGTTCTCTGCAATTCAACAAAAATGAATTTTTCAAAGTGTTATCAATGCCAAAAGATTCATTATTCACACGGGTACAATCTATTTAAAGAAAAGAGATGATGCTTATCAAGCGGAGAGAGTGATATAGCACAATGATTTAGACAACATCTGACTTAATCACAACATCGCGCGTCGGTCTCATCCAGTTAAACAAAGACATTGTCTACACCAACGTGATAAAACTCATTCTGATTACACAGAAGATACCGCTATCGCAGATCTTCATTGTATCATAGGATATAACTTCAGTAATTTTTCATTAAAGAATTTAATCTTTCTCTAAGAGCCAGGAATGAAGAAAATCACAATCGAAATATTTCACCAAACAAAATATAAAAAATTTATTAATCTTTTTTTGTGATGTGTGCAACTTATTATACTAATTAATCGTATATGTCTTTTAAACATCTTTAAATCTTTAATATACATAGAAAGGTATAAAAAAGCTAATTAGAGTTGTCCGCAAATCAAGAAAATATTTATATTAAGATATAAATAAATATATTAGATGCACATGAATTATAAAGTTTAAAAAACTATAAACATAAATATATAAGAAAAATTAATTACGATATAGTATACATAACAAGGTTCGGCTTTACGTTTAAGCCCTCTTTAAATGTACAAAATTTTTAACGTAATCTAAAATTAAAATTAAAAAATTAAAATGTAGAAAATTGAAAGTAAAGATTCACTCTTTCGACTGCTGTAAACGGTATATTTGTGTGATTTTTACCTCACACCACAGAACTTTGTAAAGTTCGTATAAATTTTTTAGATATAACGGATATCCATTTATTTTCGTATAACTCGTATGACCCGTATCTTACGTATAACGTTATATTTTTTGTGTTAATTTTCTTACACATAATATAATTATGTTACTTTCAAACATATTGAACTTGGTATTAAATTAACAAAAAATTTTATATTTCATATGTATTATTAATATATTGCGTAAATCTATAATGGTTGAAAGATTTATGTCGCAATTTCTAAATCATTGTACCGATTGCTTTACGTCCTATAGATAAAGATTCCGAAATAAATTTTGTGTCACAAGATAGAAATCATCGCAGACACAATTCAATCACGTTTAATCGCTTAATATATATAAGTCGCTAATTATCAAAATCATTTCAAAATAATTTATGATTAAATCTATCAGATTAAACAAATTAATTCATTTTTTGTATCACACACATATACGTTTCAAAGTATATTCTCTTGGTGATGTGCTTATATAAACGTACGAAGAAGCTTTATTATTATCAGTGCTATGCGTATTTTCAATATGTATACGTTCTTTACTTTAATAGTCGCTTTTTTAGCGGTAACCGCTCATGGTAAGCAAAATTAAATACGATTAATTTTTATTATTAAAATCAGATTTCTTTAATTTTAACGGATTTTACAACTAAAACCGTAAAATTATACAAAGTTTAAATTTCAGATATTTTTAATTATTACAATAAAATTTATACTTTACTTTATATAAGAAACCTATTATTGTTTTTGATTAATATCATTTAAATAAAATTATTAATTATATTTTAATACAGAGACGTCAAAAATAAATCAGGATAAATTTGATATCAATAATTGTTAAACAATATTTCTAATATTTATTGACTTTTTCATAATGATTTAATAAATAAGTAAATTGTTTACATTTTTCAAACATTAATATTAAAAAATGATATCATTGTACACTGTATGTTTATTAAGAGACACTATTTTTACGTCTATAATGGACTATTGCAATATTTGCAATTATTTTTGTTATAAAATTATAAAAAAGTAATATAAAGGGACAAGGGCAATGAGCCAATAAATTTGTTAAAATCTTTTAAATTAATCTAATATATTGGGAAGAATATCACATAATGTTAATGTGGATAATATTTATGATTTGCTTGGGACAATTGCTTTTGGAAAGCACTAAAAATGCGTTTTGTAGAAAAATTAAAGTTAGTAAGATATATGTAAAGAAAATACTTTTTATTTTAGAATCTCCGTAAAAAATTTATCCAAATATAACATTGCAATGTTACTGGAATGTTTCATTGTAATATTTCAAAAAGCGGGCATCTTAACATTATTGGAATCTTGCAGTAATGATTTAGCAACGTTTCGCAATCGCCATATAATATTGCAATGTTTCAGTGAAAACATTCTGCAATATTTCTGCAATCTTTCTATGCTGTATGGGATTTTATTGCATACCTTACAGGCTTTCCAGGAGTTCCAAGCAATCATATTGTTGGCGGAAATGATGCGCCAATCGGCAAGTTCCCATATCAAGTATCTCTGAGAAGATCGGAAAGACATTCCTGTGGTGGATCCATCATCAATCAATACACCATTCTCACCGCCGCTCATTGTATATCAAGGTATATACTTTATTTTTATTATTCATGCATGCATCTATATAAATAAAACATAATTATATTATATATGTCATACTAAGGGAACAATATTTAATATCATCTGAGAAGTAATCGACTAAAATATTTTTAACAGCTATCGCTCGAACCCCGATAGTCTGGAATCGTTAACTATTCACGCCGGCACAAATCTGCTAAGCGAAGATGGTGCCGTCTATAAAGCTAAACAAGCCATTGTTCACGAGGATTTCAGTGTTATTAGATTAGTCAATGACATCGGTTTACTTATTCTATCGACTCCAATTGAATATACCAAATATATACAGCCTATACCACTTGCAACTACCGATGTTGCTCCCAGTGGCTCTTCCTGCACTTTATCTGGATGGGGAACACTTAAGGTAAACATCATACAATAATTATTTCATGCAACAAACACATTTATATACAGTATCAACATTAATATTTATCAAATTTTATTTAAGAAAATTAGTAAAATATAAGAGTTTTTATTTAAAAATTGGCATTACTTTAAATTAATCCATATAGCACACTTCGATCAATGGATATCTTAAGGACATTTTTATGATATATTGATATATCTTCCAAATATTTTTTTTTTAAAGACATTAATTGAAGATCTGTGCTGTATGAAAATGATTACATTAATTTCTTAGTACGATTATACATAGTTCACAATAAGTGGACAAAGTTCTTAAAATTATTCACATGAAAGATCCCGCGCTGCTGCCGATAGCTATAGCCGATAGCTACAGTACAAGATAGACAGAGTATCCACTATCAGCAGCTATTCCCACCACACGCTACCAAGTGATAGCGCAAGCCAGAATTTAGCGGCACTGCCCCGCACGTTCCTCAAGGAAAATGGGTCCCGGTAGATTTGGCTGAAATTTTGGTAATTTATAGATTAGGTGATCCTGATGACCTCTAGAGATCAAACGGTTAATTGAATCAAGTTGGTGCAATGACAACTTTTCACCAGGATCACCTAATCTATAAATTACCAAAATTTCAGCCAAATCCACCGGGACCCATTTTCCATAAGGAACGTCCTTTGAAACTTTACAATAATAACTCAAGCAATTTATCTTGCAAATTTCATATTTTTCATTTTTCTAAAGTTAATACAAAAATTCGATAAAAACACGCACGCGCGCGCGCGCACACACACACACGTATATAAAACTAGTTGGATAAAAATATTAGTGTTCAAATTTATAGAAAATTTTTAATCTACTTAGGTTGGTGGTTCAGTTCCTAACAAATTACAAGAGATTGAGTTAAATATTTATGATCACGCTAGATGCAAAGAAAAACAGATGAGGTTACAACCCAGTCACATTTGCACATTTACCAAAGCAGGCGAAGGCGCATGCAACGTGAGTATTACTTTTAATATTTTACTATTCAAAATATTGCTGCATAAACATAATGTAATAAACAGTATTCGCATATCTCATTATTTATTTCTTTAATGCATATGCATATAGAGACTTCAGATTCTAAAATATAAACGCTAAAAATATTTAATAAAAGATATTATTAATTTACACCTTTATTTATACAATACATAAAATTATAAATTTAAAAAATATTTATATATTACATCTGTATATATATTAATAATATAATATAATCCTAGAAAGTAAACATTTGCAATATAGGACTAAAAATAAGTAATATAATATCAGAATTTTAAACATAATGTGATATGTGAATTAAATTAAATAAAATCTTTATTTATGACAAATAATTAAATATTGTCTCTATTAAATTTCAAGGGAGATTCCGGTGGTCCTCTTGTTTGGAATGGTGTTCAGATCGGTATTGTCTCTTTTGGTGTACCATGTGCTATGGGATGGCCTGACGTATTCACTAAAGTGTCCTTTTTCACGGAATGGATCCAAAAACATATTGTCGAATAATAGGATAAAACAATATAAGACATCAACTTTAAATTATTTAAACATAATAATATTCATTATTTTACAAATATTGCATAAGTTTAATCATACACACAAGCAATGAGAAACAAAGCCTTTAACGATCATAGCTGGATCTTATACATATAATGGTACTTGTATAACTTCATGTAAATTTGTATACTATGTATGTAGTCTTTTAATAAGTTTAACATACGATAAATAATAATAATAATTATGTGTGTGTATAAGAGAACAAAATTTGATAATTATTTTTTGATAATTACTTTATGTATAAATAAATATTTTACTTATGCGTTTTATACATATAGCTCAAACATTTTTTATTTAAATGCGATAATTATTTCAATAAACACTTACATAAATGAAACATTAAAATGATACTTTTACTGCCAAGCTGATTTCAATTTTCAATATGAATTCTAAATGAAACTAAATCGTGTCGGTTAGAATGAAAGAAATACATATGCCATCAATGGCTTTCGAGAGTGTGTGCCGGTAATTTTCAAGATCGCGTCTGAACCGACAAACCTTTTTTCCAAGGTCGGTAGACGAAAATTAGCTATGATCTGAGGATGCAGGACAAGACTCTCCGGGCACAAAACCTTGAATCTTTCACTGAATGTAATCTAATGTGAAAACAGTATCCTTTGTAAACGAGAAGATCTTTACGTGCGCTCGAAGAGAACGATAAACCAGAACAAAAAACAACAGGCACAGAAAGCGTTGACAAAAGCTCGTAGAGGCATCCTATTACGCGTCGCCCAAGCACCAGAGGTGTGAATCCCGATTATCGGCAATTAAGCACGTACTTTAATTTAAGTGAACTCGCAACACGCTGTGTACGAAAAATTTTTTTTATATGATGAAACGCAACCGCTAATGAAAAACGCAGAAAATATATTAATTGCATGATAATCATAATGGTCTTGTATGAATTTGAAATAGGAAGTAATAATTTTATGCATTATTAAGAGTAATTATAATGTGCAAAACTTACATAAATTTATAAATAAATTTTAACTTGCTTTACTATTCGAATGTTTCGAACTATAATTGGGGCTATCCTCGGCGAAATACAAGTATTAGAAATAATCTTCAAACCTCTAGATGAGTCCTGATTCAGCTGCATAATTCTGTTTCATCGTGGTCCAAGCCTGTAATTCATAGAAATTTGGAATAGCCTAAAAAATATTAAGAATTAAAATGTAAAATAATGCTAGTCAAAGTCGAAAGCCCTATTCGAAAAATATTAGTGTAAAATGTATAAATGTTCGTAAAACGGAAATAAATTTCACATCAAATTACGTGGTTTTCCTTTTTCTCCGTAACCAAATTCATATCAATAATTCATTTTAAAGTTTGATAATAACAAAGTGATTTAAGGAGTACATTGATAGTCTCAAATATTTAAAAGATAGTAATTATTTAATAGCATTTCAATAATAAAATTAATTGTTGTGAAATTTCAGTTGCAATAAAAGAATTAAAGACTCTGTTAATTCATTCCAATAATAACTCTTCTTTTTTATTTAGAGTTGAAACCAGATGCAGAGACATGAAATTTAGATATTTCCGTAAGAAAAATGATTTATGAAATTAATTAAATCGAGTATTGTCATTGTTAATAATTTTAACGTCCAAACAATTCAAAACTCTGCATCCGATTTCAACTATGAATTAAAGTCTCTGGTAAAACGAGTTAAACATTTTAAAGATCTCGGTAGTCACACATGTTAGAAGAAACAGCTGTGGTAATATCTACAATATCTGACGTAAAACGGAACTGAAATCTAACGTTTTAAGAGCTTTCCTCTTCAGATCTTGCAAAATTAAGTCAGCAATCACTGAAGATAAGGAGGATCTCATCGACATCAAAAGATTTTTATATATATTATTACGAAACGAGAAAAAAATATCAAATTTAGAACGAGTTAAAAGGCAGTATAATAAATAAGTCTTTTAAAATATTTATATTCCAACCCTTAGAAATGTCCGACTATTGCAAATACTTTCCAATAATATTAACTCAATTGGCACATTTATGAAGAATGAGATAACATCTAACGAGATTAAGATGTAATTTATGTTGACATGCATATCAGATAATAATAGTATATCAGATAATACCTACATATATATACTTTATCATATGATACTGCATTGAGAAAAATTCAGAAAAACGTCACAAACACGTGATTTATATCTTTGTTACAACTGCCTAGAAACACATATAAACCTTTGAATGCAACTATTCACTTCAATCTTGAATCCCAAACAACAAATGCAACAAAGGCAATCAGAGATGCGTATATTCGCTTGTCTTGTATTTATCGCTCTGGCACACGCCACTCAAGGTATGACTATATCAGGGAATAGAAGAATTACTTTTCCGTTACTTTTTGTAATAACAATTTTTGATGCTGCAATTCTTTATGACTGTAACGATAATTAACTGAATGATGAAGTTACGCTAAAGTTAGGAGAGACATTTTGAAAAGTAAATTACGCATTACTTATTGAAAACAGTAACAATAAGTATAACGCCGTATAAATATTCTTACATTAAAAAGTAACGAGTTCCAAATTGCGAATTATTTTTTTCAGTAACGAATGACTTTTTTGATTTGTAATAGTAACTACTAACTGTTTCAATTCTCTTACATCAGATCTGTTTTTTATTCTTACTACACTTTCCGAACTGATACAGAGAGCAATAAGTTAAAATGAAATAAATATACGTTTGTTTCATTTTAACTGCACTGTATTCATAAGTTTGAAAAGTGAATATTATATTCAACTCGTTATCAATATAAACAGTAACTAATTACTTCCATTCCCCGAAAATCATTAGTTATTACAACTATTTTATGAGAGAGAGAGAGAGAGAGAGAGAGAGAGAGAGAGAGAGAGAAAATTAAACAACACGTCTAATAACATATGCTGGTTGTAGCATCAATATAGTATATGATCTTAGAGAAATTTAATATTTATAATATAACATAATACTAATACTGGTCAATTAATTACTTATTTTTAATAGGGGAGAGTGATCTAAATCGGACCTATTTGCAATTTTTTGTTCTCTATAAGACAATAATAAAGTCCGATCATAAAATCAATGATGCCGTTCGAAAGATCATATAATTTCCTTTATTTTTGCTTTAAACCATTTTGACATATTTCTTACCTGTGTCGAACTATAATAAAAAATACATTTTTACATTTTCCATTATAGTTCGACACAGGTAAGAAATACGTGTTGATTTAACTATGAGTTCCAAATCGGACCATCCCTGGTTCAAATCGGACCTCTTCTATTTTTATGAACTTTTAGATAGAATTTTAAAATATTTTAATTAATTTTTTTTAATATTGAGAGTAAAAACGAGCAATTTAAGACTCAAAGACAAAAATTTTATTCAGAAAAGAAAATTATTTACAATTTATATTATTAGAATTAAAATCAATAAAAAATTCTATCAATCTGAATCTGGTGACACATGATATTTCATTGAATTAGTGTTCCTTAGACTAGATCTGATTGATCGATCACTAGTATTACAATCAAGTGGTGAACATTCTTTCTTCGATGAATTAGCTGCGGCTTACTCGTCTTTTTAGTGTTTTTTTATAGGTCCGATTTGGACACGAGTTTTTTCGAACTATTGGAACAAATTTTACAATAAACCGCAAAAGTAATCACAAAACTCTTGATATTTTTGAATTCTACACTCTTTCATTATCTTAAATCAATTACCGTTCAAAATTTTAACATCTTTTAAATAACGATTTACAAGGATTTTCTTTTTTAAAAAATTTTCGCACATGATAGCCAAAAATATATATTTACGTCTATTTATGAACGTTATGAGAGTCAAACTGTTATCACATGTTCGGTGTCTTATAAGGACTTTACATTATAAATAGAGCGCAAATATGCTTAACCGTATTTATTTAAATTAAAAAGGTTTGGAATACGGTCCGATTTAGGATTCTCATTCTCCTCTATATATCAAAAATACTTTTAACAATACCTATAATACTCAAAATAAGGGATTAAGTAGTCAGTACAAGTATTAAATTTTTATAAAAATTAATTGACCACCTTTGGGCTATTACATAAATATAATGCCTTTTCTAAAAGACATTACATTTATAAAATGTAATCGATCAACCAATTTTATAAATATAATCGATTAACCACGCGCGTCTGCTAGAGAAGACAACCTGACATACTGATCAATATGTTGGTGCAATAGACGGTACATGTAATAGCTATTACTTTCCAATATACATATTTAAAGTTTTTGATAATAACGATTGACATCTATAATAAATTTTATTGCAAATTAAAGAAAAAATATGTATCTAGAAGAATGTGTTAGAAGATTATTAATAACTTTATACCTTTTACTAGAAAATTTCTATAATAACGTAACAGATATTATTTTATATACATGTATTAATATAATTTATTAAACATAATTTATTTTTGTTAATAAGGAGCTCCATCCCCTCAGGTCATCGATAATCAAGATATTCCTATCGGCAAATTTAAGTATCAAGTGTCATTGAGAAACAACGACAAACACATATGCAGTGGATCTATCCTTAATAATTTCAATGTGCTAACTTCAGCAAGTTGTATTGCCGAGTATGTTGAATATTTTGAATCTTTATCAATACATATTATTTACGGAATGTAATTTTAAAATTAATCTTATTTCAACATATTAAATAATGTACGAAATGTGTACATATTCATAATAAATAAATTGCTAGCAGATACAGTATATAACTAAACAAATCTACTGACAACAAACTGGCAACAGATTTGCATTAGATACATTGCAACAATATCAATCAATTCAATATAATCTAACAACACACTGTTAGCAAAAATTGAACAGAGAGAGAGAATGCTTTTCGTAAATACTTAAATGAAATACGACATTTAAATGGCAAAGTGTGTTTAGTTTTTGTGTAATCAATCTACTATTACATTCTGTTAACAGTTTCTATTATATTTTTGTTGATATCTTATTGATAAAATACATAGCAAATATTTCCAAAATTTGTTTTTAATAGATATGAATTCTTAATGTGCATTTTTATTGTTAGATTGAAGTGTTCACTAAATGAAACAAAGGTCCATGTGGGCACAAACTTTTTAAACGAATCAGGATATGTTTATGACATAGAGAGTATTAGCGTCCACCAAAATTACGACAGTTATTTACTCATTAATGACATCGCCTTGCTTCACCTCGACACTCCTATGAGATACAACGTACTGGTGCAACCGATAACTCTTTCAAAATCCGACAAAAATTTCGAAAACAAGCCATGCACGTTATCTGGATGGGGATTTGAAACAGTAATGTCAAACTCATAATATATAAAAATTTTCTAATTATATATTATATTCAGGAAAGAACTCTTTCTTAAAAAATGTTATCATGCTCTCTTTTTATTAGGTCAATCGGAAAGTTCCGTTCGTTTTGCAAAAAGTATGATTTCATTTAAAAAACAAAATGAAAAAGTATACATTAATCAAAATATTGTCCATCGTTAGCAATGACTTTTTCCTATCTTTTTTCAAATGCTTTTGGCCGTCCAGAACGCTCTTTATCCTCCACATCAAAATCACCACTTTGAAAGCGTCGAAACCATTCTCTGAATGTTTTATCGGAAGGAGCACTATCACCATAAACTTCTACAAGTATTCGATGAGTTTCTGCTGCAGTTTTCTTCCATTTGAAGCAAAAGATTAACACTCCGCGCAAATAACGCTTATTTGACTCAAATGTCGACATTTTCGATGCAGTAAAAAGCAATGTTATTGATGCAAACGTATATACTGAATTTTAATGACAGATGGTAAAACTAAAAAGTTAAGTTTGATTTAGTATAATAGATACTCGCCGCTATATGGACGGAACGTTCCGATTGACCTAATATAAATGTATTATAACAAGAAGTTAGAAATAATAAAAGTGTGAGAAGATATTTTAATAACAATTCTGCTGCTGTTGTTCGTTTGATGCTCGATGTAACAATTAATGGAATTATTATCTTTTCTAGAATGGAAATATTTCGAATAGCTTACAGGAAATTGACTTAATAGGTTATAAACAGACAGAATGCGCGAAAAAGCACTGGCAACTGACAAGTAGCCATATCTGCACTTCACCTCAAAACAAAACTATATGCCAGGTAAATGCTGTCGATTATTAATATGATAAAACAAAAGAAAATATATGTTTAATACAGCATCAAAAAATTTTAATAATATAAATGATTATAATCTTTGTTACCATTTTACATACATCATTTTGTCACTTTTTTGTATCTACTACATGAATATTAGATAAAGACATCTTACAAAAATGAAATGAATGTAAAACATTTTAAAAATTAAAACTCCAAACATTAAGGATAACGGTAAAAACCAATTGTTATATCTTGATTAATAAAAAAAAGTCACAGCATAGCAAAATAAAAAAAAACCTCGTGTTTTTTCTACTTTATTGCTCATTAACTTTTTATTATATCCATATTTATGGAAGCAGAAATAATATTATATTATAAAAATCAAATTATATGCGGCTTAAATTTTTGCTTTAACAAATTGATACATGCATTTACATCTTTCATACATTTTTGAAAAAATATTAATATTATAAAAAAATGTAATACTAAATAGTGTTCTAATTATATGCCAAATAAATTACTTACGTTGAAATGATTATATGTATAATAATATATGTATAATTTGCCGTAATAAGCAACTACTACCGTACATAATAGTATTTAAAATATTAATAATATTTTTTTATTTAAGAATGATTTTGGTGGACCTTTGGTCATCAGTGGAGCACAACTTGGAATCGCTTCCTTCGGTAACCTTTGCGAGCCTGAAAATCCAACCGTTTACACAAAAGTGACCAGTTTCCTGCCATGGATCAACGCAAATTTGAAAATTTAAGAGATATATATGATTTGGTGTTACAAAATTTAAGATAAAGGTGCTATCTCATGCAGCGAAGGAAAACTGGCTTTTTACCCCCACTTTACTATCAAAGCAGTATTCAAAAGTTATTCGCTCTTCTTCTGCTTCCTTTTCATGAAATATATCTTCGCTAACTTTAAGCTAACAAAGATACTCATTTATTTTCGCCTACTTTTGATTCATTTTAATAACAATGGATTACGGAAATAAATACATCGAGTAAAAGAATACACCCATATAGTAGCAACTACAGCAGTAATTCGTGCCAAGGCAACGCATAGCCGAAGCATTTGCTGTGTTCCTAAAAAATTGTCATGTAAAAATTGTCATGTCATGTATTTCAGCCTTCAGTTATGTGTTTCAGTTGAACAATATCGAACTTTGAGCGTAACTTCGCTGTATACAAAATTGATGGAATAGGGGTAATAAGCCAACTTTCCTTCGCTGTATGAAATTGCTCCTTTAATAGTATAATTTAAACAAATTATTTCTGCGAAATGTATGCTCTTTTATTCAGTTAAATAAATTATCAATGTAAATAAGAAAATATAATATATTATATATATAATAACAATCAGTTGCTTTTACTTTTTTCTGTATAAAAACTAATGTTTTTGTTTTAAGTAAGACATTCTAAGTTATTGCAGTTATTTTTATACACAATGAATAATTCTACTTTATTTATATTAAGTATACGAAATTGATACAAATCTGCTTGACATCGTTATAAATAAGTTCAACGAATTTAACAAAGAAAAATTCTTTGAAAGATAAATAAATAAAAATAAAAAGGAATTTGGTAAAGAAGAAAATAAAGATAGATGATTTAAAAAAATCAAATTATTTAATAGCGCTCTCGATACTTAACAATTAATTTAATATATTAATATAAAGGCTATATGAAGAACATCAATAAAAACGCGGTACAGTAGGACCTCTTTATATAGTCCACCTTTTTATAGTCACGGCCTCCCAGTAATCCACAGTCGACCTCCGTATAAGTACACGTTTTTAACCCCATGTGATGCGTATCCATGACAACTGCTTGCACAATAAACAGTATACATTCGTCTACTTAGGCTGCGTTCCATTAAACGCTCACAACGCTCGTGGAATCGTTTCATTCTTGTTGTTTATCAAATGTCAAACAAAGAAAAACGATGCTCGAGAGCGTTCCGAGTGTAAGTGGAATGCAGCCTTAGACGTACTCAGGTTCGCATCTAATGATCAATTGTGTGAGATTAGCTTATATTAATTATTTTGCATAATTGTTAGTTACTGTTTTTATGTGTAAATATATAGTCAAAAGAGAATGTGTATAACAATAAGCAACAAGCAATAGATAAATTGAGGAGATTGCTTCCGAATTAAAAATTAAAGATGCGGCAAAAAAATATGATATCTTGTCAAGTTGTGTGTCACAAAAATAAACAAAAGAATCATATATTTTCTTTAGCAAATTCGTGCATCATGCATAATTAAAAAGGTATGCAAGATGAGACTCTCAACGAATCTGGATGCAGTCCTTCATACATGGTTTTGTCAACAAATATCATGAGGACAACCAATTAGCGGACCACTGTGTTTTGTGAAATAGTTCGGGAAATTAATAAAATATTAGATGGAGCTGCATCCTTCACGGTAATTATTTTTTACAATAAATATGTTAATAATAAATTAAATTAAATTAATATCCGCTCAAATAAATTTCCAAATTAAACTTAATATACCTCTCAGGTCAAGAACAAATTGAGCTTATACTAGTTGTTAGAAATATATATAAATTTATTATAATAATAATACCGGTATATACGGACAGTTTCGATTTCACAGAGTCCTCAACTGCCGCAACCGAATTCTTAAAATTAATTTAGTATATTGCGAAGAATATCACAAGTTGGCGTTTCGTCCCGGCTTCCACTACTGGACTCATCAGTAAGATAATGTAGTGGGTATTAAAATAAAAATCACGTAGAAAGAAATATATTTTAATGGTATTTGTCGGAAGGTGTACTCTCACCATATTTTCTATATCGCGACGTTCCTGAGGAGATGTTAAAAAGTTATAATTTCGAACGAGGACGAACATACATACATATACATACATACCGGCAGACAGAAAAGGAGACGTTTCTTAATTTTTCATTAAAATCATCACATTTTGACCGCATTTATCTCCAGAACGGGGTTTAACCGATTATATATTTTTTTTGGCTCAAATTACTCGTGGCGATGCCGCCTTTCAGGACATATATAACGTTCGAATTCAAAATTTTTTAAATTTTAGTAGTTATGCACCCCCAAAAAATGGACTTTGGTGGTTCGGGATAAGACTTGTGTCTATTATTATATATATAATCTTTTAAACTACCTTTTAAATTAACTAGTAGTTTTTTGAACATGGCCGGAGATGCTACCGCGTCTTCTGATTTTATGATAAAAATGTTTAAACAGTTGGACTTTAGCCACCTATACATTTTTGATTCTTTAAAATTTATTTCTGAGCACGTAACACACAATCTATTTGATAATATCGTAGGCACGAATATTAGATATAGTGATCGATAAAAATAAATCCACTAGAGATTACATATTTCATCAGAAATGAAAGGAAATAATTTCTTAGTCTTCTGTTTATTCTATGAAAAATTTTATCATAATGAAAACTGCGAATTTAGTTAAAATTTTTATTCACTTTTAATAAGTTACGTAAAGTAAACAATTATTAAAAATATTTAAATACTATAAAATCTTGCAGGACCGTACATGTGAGAAATACAATCAATGAGAAATTGCCTTTAACGGTCAAGCTTGGATCTTAGATGTTATTATAATTTCGTGTGAATTTACATATTACGTATGTAGTCTTTTAAACCATGCGCCGAACAATTTCTCGCTTGAAATACTACTTTACGAAACTACCGCAATAATATCACGAGTTAAATCATCTACCAATTTAACAATTTTGATACTCATAGCATATTGGATCTTAATAATGTTAAATAATATCAAAATAACCTAGGAACACGCTGCACTGTCCAAGTGTTGCACTGATAGTGCAGCCAAGAGAAAACGCTGTAGGAATCAATTAGTGTTTATATTTCACGACTTATTTGCTGCTTAAGTGATTTTTTGATAATTTCGCCAATTTATGAAATTGCAGCTATATAAAAGAGATATATGAGACATCCTATTATCTTAATATATTATTAAATACGCTTTGTAATTCTGAAATTAAATGTTTTGCGTCGTAATCTTTAATAATTGCCACAATTAATTGCTTTATATATTCTAGATTATAATTTCCAAATAAATTTTATTCTAAAAGATAGAGATCTTCATAGATATAATTCGATCTCACGACTGATCGTTCAGATAAGATAAATAATTATCAATATTTTGAAAGTTCTCTCAATGATTAAATCGGATTAGATATTGTAGATTAATTCGTTTTTAAGCGTCACACATATATACGTTTCAAAGTATGTTTCTATGGTGAGGTACTTAAAATAGTCTATATAAACATATAAAAAAGCCTCATTATTATTAGTACGATACGTAATTTCAACATGTACACTTTCTTTGTTTTGATAGTGGCCTTACAATTAGCGATAGCCATTCATGGTAAGCAAAAATTATTTCGATTATTTCGTAATAGGTATTCAAATCGGTTTTCATTAATTTTTACGAATTTTTTATAAATTTTATAAATAATATTTTATAAATCATTTTCATAAACTAAAATGGCAAAATTATACAATGTAAAAATCTTTGATATTTTTTATGTTTATATATAATATTATATAAAATAAAATCACTAAATTGAGACATTTTAATTCATAAAAAAATCTATTATTGTTTTTAATAAATACCATTTAAATAAAATTATTAACTATATTAATTATTACGAATACGAAGCTTATAACAGTATAGCTTGGATTTTTAAATGCTTATATATAATTTCGCGCAAAATTATTATTACTACATATATTAGTATATAAATTCGCGAAATTATACATAAGCATAAGATCCAAGCTAGACTGTTATAAGCTTCGTATTCGCATTAGTTATGTTCGAACATTGACGATTTTTAGATTTGAATATTGTATATTAATTATATTTTAATTTAGAATATGTTAAAAATAGATTTGGATTTTGACATAATACTTGCTAAATAATATTTCTAATATTTTGTGATATTTTAATAATGATTCAATAAAAGAATGAATTACACGTTTTTTTCCCAAACATTAATATTAACCTTCCGCCCGGCGGACGTAGAGTCTCACGAGACCCGCGAGTCTCAGAGTTGTTTACTTTTTTCAACTCTACGACATGTAAGTTAAGTACGCTTCCCTCTCTCCTATTTTATATTTGTCACTCGATGTTTCGGAGCAGTTCAGTGAAATTCAGTGTAAAATTGTTATTATGAGACATACGTTCCTACATTTTGCAATAATTTTCTATATTCTAGTTTGAAATAGCAATGAATGCAGTCATTGTTCATAATTTGTATGTAATAATCATACAATACAAAAGAAAATTATATGTAGTCTGTGAAACAAATGAATAAATATAATATGTTTCTATGGCAAATATGTGTTTTAATGTCCCTTCCTATACATATTTGAAATAGTTTATTACATACTATACTAAAAAAAAACTGCTTTTCGAACGTTTTGAAACAATTTTACTCTTGGGTCACTTTGACTCTACGTCTGCCGTACGTGCGAGTATCACGACGTCCACTGTCCGAGGGTTAAAAAATGTAACATTGTATTGTATATAAATTGTATACTTATTAATAGTAATCATTTATGGATAGAGTAGGCTATTATAATGTTTGCAATTATTTATATTATTAATATATTCTGTTTCATTTCATGCCTTACAGGCTTTCCAGGAGTTCCAAGCAATCACATTGTTGGTGGAAAGGACGCACCGGTTGGCAAGTTCCCATACCAAATATCTCTGAGAATATTTGAACGTCATTCCTGCGGTGGATCCATCATAAATCGGCATACCATTCTCACCGCCGCTCATTGCATAAGAGGGTATGTACTTTTTTGTATGTGCACACATGAATAGGGTTATAACTCTATTTGTCATATTAAGAGCAATGCTTAAAACCATCTGGGAAGTAATCGACTATAATATTTTTAACAGCTACGGCTCGGACCCCAAAGCTTTGGAATCGCTAACTGTCCACGCTGGCACAAATCTACTAAACGAAAATGGTACCGTCTACAAAGTTAAACAAGCCATCAGTCACGAGGATTTTGATAGCTTTAAATTAGTTAATGATATTGGTTTACTTATTTTATCTACTTCAATTGAATATACTAAATATATACAGCCCATATCACTTGCAATTACCGATATTGCTCCCAGCGGCTCTTCCTGCATCTTATCCGGATGGGGACAAACTATGGTATCAAATAAAAATTATTTTATGGAACAAATATAGTCTCACCTTTATCAAATATTTATCAAATTTTATTTAAGAAATTTAGAAAAATATAAGAATTTATGTTTTTGAAGAGATAGTCTTAAGAAGAAAGTCTTTAAAATATTTTCAGAACGTTAATTGAATACTTATGTATGAAAATAATAAGAAATAATGACATTATTTTTTATTATGATTAAGTTCATAATACACAGTTCATAATAAGTAGAAAACATTGTGAAAATAATTTATATATAAAATTTGAAACTTTATAATAATAATTTAAAATATTTATCTTGCAACTTTCATATTCTTCATTTTTCTAAAATTAATATAAAATTTCGAATGCACAAACTAATATTGCATATATATACATGTAATATTGATGCATAAATTTATAAAAAATTTTTTATTTATTTTTAGATGGACGGTTCGGTTCCTAACAAATTACAAGAGATTGAATTAATTATTTTCGATTACTATAAATGCAAACAAACTTACTGGGGGCCACAAAAAATACAACCTAGTCACATTTGTACATTCACCACATTAGGAGAAGGCGCGTGTAAGGTAAATATTACTTTTAATATTTTATTATTCAAAATATTGTTGCATAAAAGAATATAATAAATGTGAATTGTATATATCTCATTATTTATTTTCTTAAAGCATATGTAGACAGTAATTTTAGATTCTAAAAAATAACGGAATTATAATATCATCTAAGATCCAGCTCGACACTTAAAAGCAATTTCTCATTGGTTGTGTTTTTCACATGTACGGTCCTATAAGATTTAATATTTAGATATAAATTTTTTTTTATAAGTTTCAAAATTATCTATTTTAAATTTATGTATATATATTATCAAATATAATTTAGGAAAATGAACATCTGAAACATATAAGACTAGAATAATTGATAATATTAGAATTTTAACATATAATGATAATTAAATTTAAGATAAAAAATAAACTTATATACTATAAAATAATATAAAGTGATGTGGCTTAATAAGAATAAAATTCAAAATAATTTAGAAGAGCTACGAACCAAAACAAAATCATTTAATTACAAGTAAATATATATTTTACTTGTAATTAAATGACTTAATTCTTCTAAATTAATTTTGAATTTTATAATACCTTGATTAGAACAAATAATTAACGTTATCTCTGTTAAATTTTCAGGGAGATTCCGGTGGTCCTCTTGTTTTTAATGGTGTTCAAATCGGTATCGTTTCTTTTGGTGTACCATGTGCTCTTGGAAGACCCGATGTATTTACTAGAGTGTCCTCTTTCAAGGAATGGATCCAAAAATATATTGTCGAATAATCTTATTATAAACAAGATAAATTACTGATTCCTATTATTCAAATTAGTTATTTTTAACATCGTTTTGTGTTAAATAATAACACTTTCTTCATTCTATCTCAACATTCTAAAACTTTAGTTTAATAAAATTTATGGCCTAATATGAATTATAATATATCAGTTGTAAATAATAAACTTATACAAATATATATTTGTCATATTTCTTACTGACAAATAAATTTTGTAAGATCTAATAAAATTATTAAGAGATTAAAATTAAAAATGATTTCACATGTTATATTCATCTTATTTAATAAAACTGCACAACTTATAATTTATTTTTATTTATTATATTTATTTTAAACAAAATGATGTCAAGAGCGATTAAAGAGTCAAAAAGAATTTTCGTTAAACAATAAAATATATAATTAGTCATTTTCAATAAAATTAAAAAATTACTTAATACTAAATCGCCTATATAAAGTTTTATAATAAAGTTTGACTTTCTAATATCGATAATTATTAATCTTGCTCAATCTGCATCGTTTCTTCAACGTTACTAATTGTTCTTACACAATGTCCATAATGTTGCAAGGAATTCTTTCCAATTATTTGGTTTTTATTGTATTATATTTAATTGATGCATATGTTACCGGAACCATGCCTACACATCTAAATAACATTATTGCTGATTTAATTTGTTTGATTTTCTTGGTGAGATTTTCTTTTAGAAATTTTGACATAATTTGATTAATATTTATAAAGAAAGTTTTGTACCGTCGTTTTCAGAAATATTGTAATACATACGACTTTTCAATCGTGTGTAACTTTAATATCCGTTTTTTTCGATGAAGACTCACAAGATCATTATATGGAAACTGCATGATGTTTTAACGATAAATTTTGTTCGCCGAATTTTAATGTCTGAAGAGGGCTCAATCCGAGAGCCGAAACTCTGTAACGTTTATATTTTAATTTTATTTTAATTTTATTATTATATAGTTATATAGGCGATGTAGTATTAAGTAACGTTTTAATTTTATATTGTAAATGACTAATTATATATTTTATTGTTTAACGAAAATTCTTTTTGACTCTTTAATCGCCCTTGACATCATTTTGTTTATTTTTATATAACGAGTCCTGATTTATTTTTTATTAACTTGTTATATTTATTTTATTATCTTTCTTTATTTATTTCATACAGAGATATATTTATAAAAAATTTTGAAAGTAAAAATGTTTTTATTTTTTTCAAATATATCCAAGATAGTCTATTTTAATCAATCCACTGAAACACTTGACAAAAAAATCTTTATGATTAAGACAAAAATATTTCAGACGTTTTAGAAGTTTCTAGGGAGAAAAGAAGACGGTGACTTTGATTGACCTAGACTGGTTGACATTATTGAATACGCAATCTATTGATATCAATGATTCGAATATCAGATATAATAATTGATATAAAGATAAAATAACTATAAAGTTATGTACAACCAGATAATCGAATGGAAATTCTAATCTTCTAAAAAAAGTTTATGTTGTAAAATTTAATTAAAACTATTATCTTTATCAATCAATAAGTGCATAATGTAAAATATAAATAACATTTTATACTGCAATACTATATTGAGAAAAATTCAGGATAGCGTCACAAACAGGTGATTTATATCTTTGTTACAACTGCCTAGAAACACATATAAACCTTTGAATGCAACTATTCACTTCAATCTTGAATCCCAAACAACAAATGCAACAAAGGCAATCAGAGATGCGTATATTCGCTTGTCTTGTATTTATCGCTCTGGCACACGCCACTCAAGGTATGACTATATCAGGGAATAGAAGAATTACTTTTTCGTTACTTTTTGTAATAACAATTTTTGATGCTGCAATTCTTTATGACTGTAACGATGATTAACTGAATGATGAAGTTACGCTAAAGTTAGGAGAGACATTTTGAAAAGTAAATTGCGCATTACTTATTGAAAACAGTAACAATAAATATAACGCCGTATAAATATTCTTACATTAAAAAGTAACGAGTTACAAATTGCGAATTATTTTTTTCAGTAACGAATGACTTTTTTGACTTGTAATAGTAACTACTAACTGTTTCAATTCTCTTACATCAGATCTGTTTTTTTATTCTTTACTACACTTTCCGAACTGATACACGGAGCAATAAGTTAAAATGAAATAAATATACGTTTGTTTCATTTTAACTGCACTGTATCCATCAGTTTGAAGAGTGAATATTATGTTTATCAATATAAACAGTAACTAATTACTTCCATTCCCTGAAAATCATAAGTTATTACAGCTATTTTAAGAGAGAGAGAGAGAGAGAGAGAGAGAGAGAAGAAAAAATTTCTAATAATAAATCTGTAACTTTTCTAAACAACTCATTATTTTTAAAATAAACACAATGTTAAATTGCTAAAGTTAAAAATGTATATAAGATATGTTCCAAAAAGAGATAATCGATACAGTAGTCATTCTATCTTTATTTGATATTCAGTTAAAGACAAACGAACCTGTACGAGGGCCAGTCAATAAGTTCTTAAAAAAATCAGTCAGAGAGCACTCGCAGTGTCATGTCACATTACTTTTTGACAAGTAGCATCTTTCAGCTGATTACCGTCAAACTTTGAGCGGAACTGTTCTTGAACTGAGTTTGAAAAGTTGGAGAATCATTAGATCAAGTGTATTGAGCTGAAAGGAGACTACGTTGAGAAATAAAAAAGAATCGATCAAAAAAATGTGTTTTACTATGTTTTTCTAGAAATTTATTAACTTGCCCTCGTACCTTTTACTAGAAAATTTCTATAATAACGTAACAGATATTATTTTATATACATGTATTAATATAATTCATTTAATATAATTTATTTTTGTTAATAAGGAGCTCCATCTACTCAGGTCATCGATAATCAAGATGTTCCTATCGGCAAATTTAAGTATCAGGTGTCATTGAGAAACAATGGCAAACACATATGCAGTGGATCTATTCTTAATAATTTTAATGTGCTAACTTCAGCAAGTTGTATTGTCGGGTATGTTGAATATTTGGAATCTTTATCAATACATATCATTTACGGAATGTAATTTTAAAATTAATTTTATTTCAACATATTAAATAATGTACGAAATGTGTACATATTCATAATAAATAAATTGCTAGTAGATATAGTATATATATACATATCTAAACAAATCTACTGACAATAAACTGGCAACAGATTTGCATTAGATACATTGCAACAAATTCAGTATTATTTAAATACTCATTCAACTTACGTTTTGATGGCAGAACTTAGGGATATAATCTAACAACAAACTGCAAAAATTGAACAGAGAGAGAGAATGCTTTTCGTAAATACTTAAATGAAATACGACATTTAAATGGCAAAGTGTGTTTAGTTTTTGTGTAATCAATCTACTATTACATTCTGTTAACAGTTTCTATTATATTTTTGTTGATATCTTATTGATAAAATACAAAGCAAATATTTCCAAAATTTGTTTTTAATATAGATATGAATTCTTAATGTACATTTTTATTGTTAGATTGAAGTGTTCACTAAATGAAACAAAGGTCCATGTGGGCACAAACTTTTTAAACGAATCAGGATATGTTTATGACATAGAGAGTATTAGCGTCCACCAAAATTACGACAGTTATTTACTCATTAATGACATCGCCTTGCTTCACCTCGACACTCCTATGAGATACAACGTACTGGTGCAACCGATAACTCTTTCAAAATCCGACATAAATATTCGAAACAAGCCATGCACGTTATCTGGATGGGGATTTGAAACAGTAATGTCGTACTTATGATATAAAAATTTTCTAATTATACATATTCAGGAAAGAACACTTTCTTAAAAAATGTTATCATTCTGTTTTTATTAGGTCAATTTGAAAGTTCTGTTCGTTTTGCAAAAAGTATGATTTCATTTAAGAAACAAAATGAATAAGTACATCAATCAAAATATTGTCCATCGTTAGCAATGACTTTTTCCTATCATTCTTCAAATGCTTTTGTCCGTCCAGAATGCTCTTTCTCTTCCACATCAAAATCACCACTTTGAAAGCATTGAAATCATTCTCTGAATGTTTTATCGGAAGGAGCACTATCATAATATCTATTACTATCCCCATAAACTTCTACAAGCATTCGATGAGTTTCTGCTGCAGTTTTCTTCCATTTGAAGCAAAAGATTAACACTTCGCGCAGATATAACGCTTATTTGACTCAAATGTCGACATTTTCGATGCAGTAATAAACAATGTTATTGATGCAAACGTATACTTTTATAAACTGAATTTTATTGACACATGGTAAAACTAAAAAATTAAGCTTGATTTAGACATTAGAGTTAACGACAGTTCTAGCTATAGATACTCGCCGCTACATGGATAGAACTTTCCGATTGACCTAATAGAAATGTATTATAGCAAGAAGTTAGAAATAATAAAAGTGTGAGAAGATATTTTAATAACAATTCTGCTGCTGTTGTTCGTTTGATGCTCGTTGTAACAATTAATGGAATTATTATCTTTTCTAGAGTGGAAATATTTCAAATAGCTTACAGGAAATTGACTTAGTAGGTTATGAGCAGACAGAATGCGCGATAAGGCACTGGCAAGTGACAAGTAGCCATATCTGCACTTTAGCTCGAAACTTTAATGTATGCCAGGTAAATGCTGTCGATTATTAATATGATAAAACAAAAGAAAATATATATTAGATACAGCATCAAAAGATTTTAATAATGTAAATGATTATAATACTTGTTACCATTCTACATATATCAATTGGTCACTGTTTTGTATCTACTACATGAATATTGGATAAAGACATCTTACAAAAATGAAATAAAACTTTTTAAAAATTAAAACTCCGAACATTAAGGATAACGGTAAAAAACAATTGTTTTATCTTAATTAATAAAAAAAAGTTACATAGCAAGGTAACAAAAAATCTCATGTTTCTTCTATTTTATAGCACAATAACTTTTTATTATATCCATATTTATGGGAGCAAAAGTAATATTATAAAAATCTAATCATATGCGGATTAAATTTTTGCTTTAACAAATTGATACATGCATTTACATCTTTGATACATTTTTGGAAAAATATTAATGTTATAAAAGATTGTAATACTAAATAGTGTTCTAATTATATGCCAAATAAATTATTTACGTTGAAATGATTATATGTATGCACAATAATATAATTTGCCGTAATAAGCAACTACTACCGTATATAATAGTATTTTAATATTAATCATATTTGTTTATTTAAGAGTGATTTTGGTGGACCTTTGGTCATCAGTGGAGTTCAACTTGGAATCGCTTCCTTCGGTAACCTTTGCAAGCCTGAATATTCAAACGTTTACACAAAAGTGACCAGTTTCCTGCCTTGGATCAACGCAAATTTGAAAATTTAAGAGATATATACCATTTGGTGTTACAAAATTTAAGATAACAATAAAGGTGCAATTTCATGCAGCGAAGGAAAGCTGGCTTTTTACCCCCACTTTACTACAATTAAAGCAGTGTTCAAAAGTTATTCGCTCTTCTTCTGCTTCCTTTTCATGAAATATATCTTCGCCAACTTTAAGCTAACAAAGACACTCATTCATCTCTCCAGGAGAAGGGAAAAGGAAAAAAGATGAACTGGTGCAAAAGTTCAGCAATAAAGAACAGACCTTATATCACGCAATAATATCACGAGTTATATTATCTACTAATTTAACAATTTTGATACTCATAGCATCTTGGATCTTAATAACATTGAATAACACTAGGATAACCAAGGAAACACGCTGCACTGCCCGAGTGTTGCACTGATAGTGCAGCCAAGAGAAAACGCTGTAGGAATCAATTAGTGTTTATATTTCACGACTTATTTGCTGCTTAAGTGATTTTTTGATAATTTCGCCAATTTATGAAATTGCAGCTATATAAAAGAGATATATGAGACATCCTATTATCTTAATGTATTATTAAATACGCTTTGTAATTCTGAAATTAAATGTTTTGCGTCGTAATCTTTAATAATTGCCACAATTAATTGCTTTATATATTCTAGATAATAATTTTCAAATAAATTTTATTCTAAAAGATAGAGATCTTCATAGATATAATTCGATCTCACGTCTGATCGTTCAGATAAGATAAATAATTATCAATATTTTGAAAGTTCAATGATTAAATCGGATTAAATATTGTAGATTAATTCGTTTTTAAGTGTCACACATATATATGTTTCAAAGTATGTTTCTATGGTGAGGTACTTAAAATAGTCTATATATAAACATACAAAGAAGCCTCATTATTATTAGTACGATACGTAATTTCAACATGTACACTTTCTTTGTTTTGATAGTGGCCTTACAATTAGCGGCAGCCATTCATGGTAAGCAAAAATTATTTCGATTATTTCGTAATAAGTATTCAAATCGGTTTTCATTAATTTTTATGAATTTTTTATAAATTTTATAAATAATATTTTATAAATTTATATTTTATAAATCATTTTCGTAAACTAAAATGGCAAAATTATACAATGTAAAAATCTTTGATATTTTTTATGTTTATATATAATATTATATAAAATAAAATCACTAAATTGAGACATTTTAATTCATAAAAAAATCTATTATTGTTTTTAATAAATACCATTTAAATAAAATTATTAACTATATTAATTATTACGAATACGAAGCTTATAACAGTATAGCTTGGATTTTTAAATGCTTATATATAATTTCGCGCAAAATTATTATTACTACATATATTAGTATATAAATTCGCGAAATTATACATAAGCATAAGATCCAAGCTAGACTGTTATAAGCTTCGTATTCGCATTAGTTATGTTCGAACATTGACGATTTTTAGATTTGAATATTGTATATTAATTATATTTTAATTTAGAATATGTTAAAAAAATATATTTGGATTTTGACATAATACTTGCTAAATAATATTTCTAATATTTGATATTTTAATAATGATTTAATAAAAGAATGAATTACACGTTTTTTTTTTCCAAACGTTAATATAATATTAACCTTCCGCCCGGCGGACGCAGAGTCTCACGACATGTGAGTTTCAGGTACGCTTCCCTCTCTCCTATTTTATATTTGTCACTGTTTCAGAGCTTTTCAGTGAAATTCAGTGTAAAATTGTTATTATGAGAGATACGTTCCTGCATTTTGCAATAATTTTCTATATTCTAGTTTGAAATAGCAACGAATGCAGTCATTGTTCCTAATTTGTATGTAATAATCATGCTACAATACAAAAGAAAATTATATGTAGTCTGTGATGAAAATGAATAAATATATGTTTCCATGATAAATATATGTGTTTTTATGTTCTTTCCTATACATATTTGAAATAGTTTATTACATATTATAATAAAACAATATCTGCTTTTCGAACGTTTTGAAACAATTTCACTTTTGGGTCACTTTTGACTGTACGTCCGCCGTACGTGCGAGTATCACGACGTCCATTGTCCGAGAGTTAAAAAATGTAATATTGTATTGTAAATTGTATACTTATTAATAGTAATCATTTACTGATAGAATGGGCTATTATAATATTTGCAATTATTTATATTATTAAAAGTTAAAAAATGTTTTGTCATAAATTTATTCTGTGTGTTTTACATTCTGTTTCATTGCATACCTTATAGGCTTTCCAGGAGTTCCAAGCAATCACATTGTTGGTGGAAATGACGCACCGGTTGGCAAATTTCCATACCAAATATCTCTGAGAATATTTGAACATCATACCTGCGGTGGATCCATCATAAATCGGCATACCATTCTCACCGCCGCTCATTGCGTAAGAGGGTATGTACTTTTTTATATGTGCATACATGAATAGGGTTATAACTCTATTTGTCGTATTAAGAGCAATGCTTAAAACCATCTGAGAAGTAATCGACTATAATATTTTTAACAGCTATGGCTCGGACCCCAAAGCTTTGAAATCGCTAACTGTCCACGCTGGCACAAATCTACTAAACGAAAATGGTACCGTCTACAAAGTTAAACAAGTCATCAGGCACGAGAACTTTGATAGCTTTAAATTAGTTAATGACATTGCTTTACTTATTTTATCTACTTCAATTGAATATACTAAATATATACAGCCTATATCACTTGCAATTACCGATATTGCTCCCAGCGGCTCTTCCTGCATCTTATCCGGATGGGGAAAAACTAAGGTATCAAATAAAAATTATTTTTTGCAACAAATATAGTACAGTCTCAGCTTTATCAAATATTTATCAATTTTTATTTAAGAAATTTAGCAAAATATAAGAATTTATGTTTTTGAAGAGATAGTCTTAAGAAGAATATTTTCGGAACGTCAATTGAAGACTTATGTATGAAAATAATACGAAATAATTACATTACTTTTTATTATGCTTAAGCACAGTTCATAATAAGTATAAAATGTTATGAAAATAATTTGTATATAAAATTTGAAACTTTATAATAATAATTCAAGATACTTATCTTACAACTTTCATATTCTTCATTTTTCTAAAATTAATATAAAATTTCGAATGCACAAACTAATATTGCATATATAAAAATATTGATGCATAAATTTATAAAAATTTTTTTATTTATTTTTAGTTTGGCGGTGTGACTCCTAACAAATTACAAGAGATTGAATTAAATGTTTACGATCAAGATAAATGCATACAAGCTCACTGGGGGTATCATATGATAGAACCTAGTCATATTTGTACATTCACCACATTAGGCGAAGGCGCATGTCACGTAAATATTACTTTTAATATTTTATTATCCAAAATATTGTTGCATAAAAGAATATAATAAATGTGAATAGTATGTATCTCATTATATTTATCTTCTTAAAGTATATGTATACAGCAATTTTATATTCTAAGAAATACGTATAAAATATCAAGTAAAGTACAACATTAATTTACAACCTTATTTATACGATACATAAATTTATAAAATACACACGTAATATATAAATTTACACGGAATTATAATAGCGTCTAAGATCCAGCTCGACCGTTAAAAGCAATTTCTTATTGGTTGTGTTTCTCACATGTACGGTCCTATAAGATTTAATATTTAAATATTATAAATTTATAAGTTTCAAAATTATCTATTTTAAATTTATGTATTATTTTAAATATAATTCAAAATTATCTATTTTAAATTTATGTATTATTTTAAATATAATTTAAGAAAATGAACATCTGAAGCATATAATACTAGAATAAGTGATAATATTAGAATTTTAACATATAACGATAATTAAATGTAAGATACTATTAAATAATAAAATAATATAAAATTCAAAATAATTTAAAAGGGCTACGAACCAAAACAAAATCATTTAATTACAATTAAATATATATTTTACTTATAATTAAATGACTTAATCCTTCTAAACTGATTTTGAATTTTATAAAATAATACCTTGAGATTAGAACAAATAATTAATGTTATCTCTAAATTTTCAGGGAGATTCCGGTGGTCCTCTTGTTTTTAATGGTGTTCAAATCGGTATCGTTTCTTTTGGTGTACCATGTGCTCTTGGAAGACCCGATGTATTTACTAGAGTGTCCTCTTTCAAGGAATGGATCCAAAAATATATTGTCGAATAATCTTATTATAAACAAGATAAATTACTGATTCCTATTATTCAAATTTGTTATTTTTAACATCGTTTTGTGTTAAATAATAACACTTTCTTCATTCTAGCTGGTCTATCTCAATATTCTAATATTTTAGTTTAATAAAATTTGTGGCCTAAAATATGAATTATAATATAATATATCAGTTGTAAATAATAAACTTATACAAATGTATATTTGTCATACTTCTTACTAACAAATAAATTTTGTAAGATCTAATAAAATTATTAAGCGATTAAAATTAGAAATTATTTCACGTGTTACATAAATCTTAATTAATAAAAATGTATAACTTATAATTTATTTTTATTTATTGTATTTATTTATTATTTTATTTATTATATTTATTTTATCTTTATTTATTATCTTTTTTTATTTATTTCATACAGAGATAATGTTTATAAAAAATTTTGAACGTAAAAATGTTTTTATTTTTTTCAAATATATCCAAGATAGTCTATTTTAATCATTCCACTGAAACACTTGAAAATCTTTATGATTAAGACAAAAATATTTCAGACGTTTCAGAAGTTTCTAGGGAGAAAAGAAGACGTTGACTTTGATTGACCTAGACTAGATGACGATATTGAACACGCAATCTATTGATATCAATGATTCGAATATTAGATATAATAATCGATATAAAGATAAAATAACTATAAAGTTATGTACAATCAGATAATCGAATGGAAATTCCAATTCTTCTAAGAAAAGTTTACGTTATAAAATTTAATTAAAACTATTATCTTTATCAATCAATAAGTGCATAATGTAAAATATAAATAACATTTTATACTGCAATACTATATTGAGAAAAAATCAGGATAACGTCATTAACACTTGATTTATATCTTCGTTTCAAGAATTTAACTACTTCAGAAACATATATAAACCTGTAAATACATCTATTCATTTAATCCCGCGTAACAAATCTGCAAGATGCGTGCGTTAGTTTGTGTTATACTCATCGCTCTAGTATACGGCACTGAAGGTAAGAATTCATGAGTTATCAATATGTTAACATAAACAGAAAGATATTCAGACAATATGCATTATCTAAAGAAACTTTTATAAAGTCACTTTATAAAGTTTTTTAGAGACTAAAAAAAATACATACACACACACACACACACACATCTTTATGATGTCTTTTAAGAACACATGTATTAGGAGAAAGATATTATACTAACATTTTCTAATGTGTGTGTGTGTGTGTGTGTGTGTGTGTGTGTGTGTGTGTGTGTGTGTGTGTGTTATATTTATATAATATATTTATATAACATTATAGACTGACAAGCAAAAAAAGTAGTTTTTTTTTTTTTAATCAGCCTCTCAGCTCAAAAGCTTCCATTTCATGCTAAAAGAACACCCCTAAATTTTTATTATAAAATATTAAGTTTTAGAGGTGGCTAGTGAGCGATTTTTAAATCAAAGTTTCAATTTTCTTTAATACATGTTTGACATTATCAGAGGTCTATCGATATACGCAAATTCTCGCAAGTGCTTTGATACGCTTATATGTCTTCATATAGAATCTCGATTGAATAACTCTCCCAAGCGTCTAAGGTAGGCTTCCACTACAATGCCTCACTGATGAGTCCAGTAGTGGAAGTTAGGATGAAACACCATAATTACGTGATATTCTTCGCAATATATTAGATTAATTTGATAGATTTTAACGACTTTATTGGCTCATTGCCCTTGTCTTTTTATAATAGTTTTTAAAAACTTATTGAGGCCCATTACAAATAATTTAATTTATGTGAGAATATACACATATTTTCCTGTATTCTCAAAACATGAACATTTTAATGTTAAAAATTAATATGTCGCGATTAATAAAATTTACGATAAAAAAAATTTTATTTTTAGTAAGTCTATATTTTCCGAACAGCTCATTACTCTTAAAGATGACACGATGTTTAATTATTATTGTTTAAAAGTGTGTGCGTAAATATAGTAATGTAACATATTGTTTTGCGTATCAATTAATATGATTAATTATTTTTATTGATGTCATTAACATGAGTATGTACATTCTAACAATATGATTAATTTATTTTTGTTAATAAGGTGCTCCTCATATCGTCGGTGGTAAGGATGCTCCAATCGGCAAATTTCCATATCAAGTCTCATTGAAATATGAGGGTAACCACAGATGCGGTGGATCTATTATTGGTAGATTTACCATATTAACCGCAGCGCATTGTGTTGACGGGTAAGAAAAATATTTTGTATCTGTAACTAATACTTATATACGTAATTTTTATCAAAATTTAATTCTAAAAAATCATTTTTTAAATATTTTAGTCAGCAACGTATTTTTTATCATTAATTACAATTATAAAATGCATTATTGTTTATTTGACATTTTTCTAGATAAAATATAGTTCTTTATTTGAAGAGTGATTTATAATTAATACCCTCATTGAATGAGACAATGCCACAGCGGTCTAAGCTGGATTACGGGTGCTTCTAAATAATTGTGTATGAATTTATATACTACGAATGTAATTCTTTGATTGTGCGCTGCAATTTTTTCAGAAATGAAACGCAGCACTAATAAACTACCTCAGTAATATCACGAGTTAAATTGACTAACAATTTAACAATTATTGATGCTGTTTACGCATCTCCAGCTTAGATCGCTGTAGCATTGTCTCATTCGATTTGAAATTTAGCGATCCAATAAGAATTAATATTGTTCATTTACGATGCCTATAGAGTTACTTAATAGTTGTACCTACTTATACTGATTATTGCGAATATTATTAAGGTCTCGGTAGTCTAAAGCTTAGGACAGGCATGGGAGCGGATCACTTTTCTCACTTTTTAAAAACATCTCACTCTCTTTCCCTCACTTTTCTATAAAAAAAACTCACTTTTTTCACTATATATATTTTTCTGTAGATTTGCGATTGTGGTTCGATTTATGCTCACAACGCATATATAACAAATATTTTCAACAACATTGGATATCTGAGTATATGCGTTTTTTATTCTTAGTTTGGAAGATTCGCTGGATAAACTAAAGGTCCATGGTGGCACAAACTTTTTAGACGTACCAGGAGATGTTCATGATGTAGAAACTGTAATCGTCCACAGTGATTACGACAGCTATTTACTCATTAATGACATCGCTTTGGTTCACCTTAAAAAACCTATCTCGTACAACGGACTAGAGCAACCTATACCTCTTTATTCAGCCGGTGGAGGATTTGATGGCAGGGTCTGCACATTATCCGGATGGGGAACTACTTGGGTAATTTTAAACTCACGAAAGCTTTCCCATTATATATACCTATTCATAAATGAGACGTTTTCTTTTAAAGAAACTAATTATTTTTTCTTTATACTCGTAGTATGTAATATAACACGTTAGACATAATAATAGAGAAGATATTTTTTCTTGCTAATAACCATTTGCTTATTTTTATATGGTAATTGCTTTGATTATCAATTTAACAATATAATTTTTTTTAGCTTGGTGGAAATACTCCAAATAACTTACAAGAAATTGACTTAATAATTTATCCGCTGAAAGATTGCGCGAGAGAAAATTGGAGAGTGACAGATAGTCATATCTGCACTTTGACTATAACAGGAGAAGGAGCATGCCATGTAAGCTGTCGATCATTAATAATATTATACAACAAATCGATACATGTTTATTTTTTATAACAATAGAATAATAGATAACATTAAATATTAATTTAAAAAATATATTATTATAGTATAAAAGATTATAATATTGAGTTTTATCATCTTGATCATTACACATATAATATCATTTGCAGTAAAGAATTTTTTACTATTACTATACAAATGCTGGTATTTTATTATTATTTGCATCTTTATTCTAGGGTGATTCTGGTGGACCATTGGTAATTGATGGAGCTCAAATTGGAATTGTTTCTTTTGGTAATCCTTGCGCGCGTGGATACCCAGACGTTTACACAAGAGTTATCAATTTCATGCCTTGGATCGATTCAAACATGAAGAGATAAATTATTATTTAATTTATAATGTAATATTTTGAATCTAAAGTAGAAGAATTAAACTTGTATTACATTCTGTAATTCAATTAATTTGTGTAATGTTTACTGTGAGAAAAAATTTAAAATTTTGATTTACTTCAGTTTATTTTATCATTGCTTTAATATTTCTTTAAAATTTTAATATATGTCTTTCAACATATTATTAAGATCCAATAAGATGCTATAAGCATCTAAAATTGTTAGATTGCTTGTCAATTTAACTAAAGTGATATTACCGCGGTAGTCATTTAGAGTTGCGTTGTAAGTCTGAAAAAATTTTCGGCACACGATTGAGTGAACTACATACGCAGTATATAAATTCACACATTATACTAAGCATTGTAATCTAGCTTTGACCGTTAATGGCTTTGCTTCATGCTTCCTTTCTTCTTATTATTGTTTATCAATAAGTACGGTTGTAAAAAGATTCTTATATTTGTTTACTTTAGTTTATTGTATTTATCCCAAAAATATTACATACTCATAAAACATTTAATAAAAAAATTTGATAAATAATTACGTGTGCATATAAAAAAGAGTATTTAATTAAAAAATTTTTAATAATTGCTGAGTGTAAATAATTTTTTTTATTGATGCATTTTATTATACATACCTAAAAATATTTTTGTTTAAATGTATAATTATTTAAGTAAACATTGTTTAAATGAGACGTTGAAAAACACTTTGATTTGCCAATTCCGATTTCAATATCAACTCTGAAAAAATTCTTCAAATTTTATGAAATATGCAAACCCAGATTAAAAAATATTCGTATAATATTCTTATATTAAATATATACAAAAAATATTAATTATAACAACAAAAAAATAATTTATTTTAAAAAATATGTATTGTATTATATATATCAACATTTATTTTACATTATATATGTATATATGTATATGTTATTAAATATTTAATAATATAACTTAAGAATAAATATATGTTTTATTAAACCTGACATTCTGTAAGAATAACTTTGTTTTAAACTTTAAAGACATTATTTCACTCGTTTATTATATTCTATTTGAACTTACATAATTTATAATTCACAAGAGTATTAAGTTTTATATCTTGGATCATTGCAAACTTGAAAAAATAAAAAATATTATTTAATTTGTTTATTACAATTTAATTTTACTTTACTTACAATTTAATTAATAATATTTTAATTAAAATATTTTTTTGAAATATGAATTTTTTGATAAATATAAATTGTTAATACTATATACGTGTATATATACAGAGTGTCCCAGAGTTTCTTCTAATCGCTTTTGTGTAATAGACCGTTTTTGTGCGTAGATAATGCAGTACCAAAAAGTTCACAAAAATTTTTTCAAAATTTTTTTGAACTTTTGGTACTGCATTTTCTTATTGGCAACTATTTTTACCAACATAAGAAATACAGTATTCAAAAATTCTGGAAAATTTCTGAAAAGATATTCAGAACATTATGAGAAGAAAATAAACAACTTTTATCTCCCGTTATTTTTCTGTAAAGTTAATAAAGTATTTGAGAAAAAAATTATTGAAGACCAATATTCGATAGCTTTAAAAATTAAAATCTCGTTAATCATTGCGAAATTTGTAAATGATAAAGGACTTTTCGACTCAGTTTAATCTGCTCTATCTACGCAAAAGTGATTGGAAGAAACTCTCGGGACATCTGTGTATATACAGTGGTGGCAGAAGTAATAGGTACACTGCAGACAAAGCGTAATTTTATCTGCTTAAGAAAAAAAATATTCAGATCAATTATTATGTGTAGAGATAATACTTCGAGGGTTTACCTTCATTAAAAAATTACTAATTTTTCGCCTAAGAAAGATAATGGGATTCTTGTAAAAATTTAGATGTTATCTATAAATGTAAGTAATATAGCAGTCAAATTAAATATACAGTCTACTGTTTAAATAAAACATTTACTTTTATATCTTTTTTATTTTAAAGATTTTATTAAACTTTATCTCTTATATTTATACATAAAGTTTCCTTTTTATTTATTTTTATAAATCTGTTTAATAATATATTCAACATTTGTAAAGTTTAATTTGGTCAAACAAATTTATAATTTTTTACATTACAAGATGTTGACTATTAAGCGCGCTATATGTAATCTATTGATGATATCGTAGTTTTAAATGTTAGATATAATAATATAAAAATAAATTAATTGAAATGATATACTTCAGATAAATCTCTATTCTTTTAATTGTAAGAAGAATCATAACGATAAAAAAATGAATTTAATTAAATTTAATTAAAACTCTCGCCTTTATCAATCAATAAGTGCATAATACATATAAACTATAAGTAATAATATTTTATCATGCGATACTATATTTTTAAAAATCAGATAAGTGTCGAGTGATTTCTAGCTTTGTTTTAGCTACTTCAGAAACATATATAAATCTGCGAATGCATCTTTTTGTTTCATTTTAGGTAACAAATCTGCAAGATGCGTGCGTTAGTTTGTTTTATACTCGTCGCTCTAGTATACGGCACTGAAGGTAAGAATTCATAAATTATAAATGTTTTGACATAACAAAAAAAGGAAAGAGATTCAGATAATATACATTATCTAAAGAAACCTTTATAACTCGCTTTATAAAGTCTTTTAGAGACTTTTTCAATACCTCTATATATAATATATAGTATACCTATATACTAGTATATATTTTATATACTATATATGTATATGTATTTTTTTTTAACATCTTTTAAGCATACATGTATTTAGAAGAAAGACTGACGTTTTTTCTAACGTGTACGTGTGTGTGTATTATATTATATATATGTGTAAAGTTTTTAATAATAATGTGTTTGCATAATAATATTCATATATGATAAGCTTCTATAAATATTGCTGTACTGTACATTTACTACAAACATACAACTCTCTTGAAAAAAGAATAATTATAATACATTATATGTATAAAACACAATATTTTTATCCATAAATTTCTAAAATACTTATTAATAGTTTCATTACCGACTAATTAATTATATAATCTAATTAATTTATATGTAATTATTTTATGAAAATATTCATATATTTTGCTGTATTATTAAAATATGTATATTTTAATGTTAAAAATTAATGTGTCGCGATTATAATAAAACTTATGGTAAGAAAAATTTTATTTTTAGTAAGTCTATACTCTATAACTTTCTCGAACAGCTCATTATCCATAAAATTGACACGATTTTATTTTTATTAAGGTTATTAACATGAGTAAATTAACAATGATTAATTAATATTTGTCAATAAGGTGCTCCTCATATCATCGGCGGTAAGGATGCTCCAGTCGGCAAATTTCCGTATCAAATATCATTAAAATATTTTGGTAGCCACAGATGCGGTGGATCTATTATTGATAATCGTAACATATTAACCGCAGCGCATTGTGTTGACGGGTAAGAAAAATATTTTGTATCTGTAACTAATACTTATATACGTAATTTTTATCAAAATTTAATTCTAAAAAATCATTTTTTAAACATTTTAGTCAACAACATATTCTTTATTATTAATTACAATCATAAAATGTATTATTGTTCATTTGACATTTTTCTAGATAAAATGTAAATTTTTATTTTAAGAATGATTTAAATACTCTTACATTATTTCCATTGGCATTTTATTTTCATAAAATTTATAGTAGACATTTTCAACATCTTTTTTTAACAAATTTGGACTTATCCGATTGGAATATCCGAGATATTAGATATATTATACAATATCTTTTTATTCTTAGTTTGGAAGATTCGGTGGATAATTTAAAGGTTCATGTTGGCACAAACCTTTTGAATGTACCAGGAGATGTTTATAATGTAGAAAGTGTAAGCGTCAACAGTAATTACGATGGCTATTTGCTCATTAATGACGTTGCTTTGGTTCATCTTAAAAACCCTATTACGTACAACAAACTAGTGCAACCGATAAATCTTACAACATCCGATGCAGGACTCGAAGGCAAGCCATGTACATTATCCGGATGGGGAACTACTTGGGTAATATAGAAACTAATATGATAGTTACGATACAAAAGTTTTTCAATTACACATATCCAAGAATTGGACATTTTTTGTATAAAAACTAATTATTTTTTCTTTATATATATAATAACACGTTAGAAGTAATAAATGAGAAGATATTTTGCTAATAATCATTCGCCTATTGTCATATGGCAATTTATATACAATGTACAATAATTTGATTATCAATGTAACAGTGCGATCTTTTTTAGCTTGGTGGAAGTACTCCAAATAAATTGCAAGAAATTGAGTTAATAGTATATCCTCACAAAGATTGCAAGAGATCAGATTCGAAAGTAACAGATAGTCATATCTGTACTTTGACTAAAACAGGACAAGGAGCATGCCATGTAAGTCATATTGAGTTTTATCATTTTGATCATTATATGATTATACAGTTTTATTTTAACACTGAAATGATCATAACTATCATTTACAGCAAACAATTTCTTACTATGTAAATGCCGGTATTTTATTATTATTTGCCTCTTCATTTTAGGGTGATTCTGGTGGACCATTGGTGGCCAATGGAGCTCAAATTGGAATTGTTTCCTATGGTGTTCCCTGCGCAGTTGGATTTCCAGACGTTTACACAAGAGTTTCCAGTTTCATATCTTGGATTAATGCACATTTGAAGAAATAAAGAATATTTAATTTGTTTATTACAAATTCTTTTCGTATAACATGATTTAGAATTTAATTAATAATATATAATTAATTTTAAAAGTTATTAGTGTGTCTTTAATGTACATTTTTTCATAAATTAAATAAATTATCATTGCAAGTAACAAATTAATTGTTTTTATTTTATGTGTGTATAAGAACTGACATTTTTTTCATAATGCGACCACTATTTTTGTTAGTGATAAAAATATTAATTATTTTTGTAATTGAAAATATTTATAAATCTACATAATATATAATAATTATAAATGTATAAAGTTAATATAATAGAAGGCTCTTTAATATAAAACATAAAAGTTAAAAGAAGGGCCAAGAGCCAAATGTTGACATTTAACAAAGACACTTTAATTCGAATTAATAAACATTACAAATTAATAACAAAAACAAATATCAACAGACATTTCGACACCGATAGGGTCATTATTAAATATTGATCAATATTTGATAACGACCCGATCGGTGTCGAAACGTCTGTTGATATTTGTTTTTGTTATTAATTTGTAATGTTTATTAATTCGAATTAAAGTGTCTTTGTTAAATGTCAACATTTGGCTCTTGGCCCTTCTTTTAATTTTTATAAATTATAAATGTGTTTTATAAAGATAATGAATAAAAATCTTTTTAAATATTATAAAAAAGTTCTATAGAAAAATTTGTAATTATATGTTATTAATTTCAATAAGCTTTATATAGTGAACATAAAACATAAAGTTATATTATTTTCAGATAATTTCTCAATCAAATATTCTATTCAAATAAGATCCATAATTATATCTCTGATTAAAATAACATTAAAGATAAAGGAATATTCATTAATGAGCAATTAGTAAACATGATTCAATTGTGGACGTAATGTGTTTAATGAGTACAAAAATTTATAATCGAATTACAAATTATATTTATTAGAAGTTTTATATATAATAAATATATGTATTCGTACACATTGAGAAACAAGTTGCTGTTTAAAAAAATATTACTTAGTTGATTTAACTAAATGTAGCGGTTGCGGCTAAATCAAATATTTGTTAATTCGAACAAATAAAACATGTTTAAATTACAATACTTTGTTAACTTAAATATATAATTACTTAAACTAAATAATCATTACGAACTAAACGCATTTAATCGAATTAATAACTTATTTCTCAGTATATATTTGTTTGAAACTGGATTTTCAACAATATATTTTTCATAAAAATATAATGATTATTTTTAGTATTTATATTCATTCAAAGTATTGAAAACTCAAATTAATAAGTAAAATTCCTGCAAGCAACCATTGCCCACTCTTTAATGATTCTAAACGATTAGATAAACGTATTATTAAATTTTACGTTTATAAAATCTGTAATCTTTAATTAAATATGGGAAGAAAAACACAATTGATATGTTTGAAATGACTGAATTAAGTGATTGAAATAATAATGATAATTCTGTTTCACGTACATTTTTTTTTATTCTTTCACAATTTTATTCTCGGAAATGATATTAATTGGAAAAGTGAATGCAATAGAAACGTATGAATAACTTTATATATGATAATAATTTAAAAAAAACACTTTTAAAGACTTTTGAAGTCTGAATATTATTCCTCTGCCAGTTTTATTGTTTTTACAGATTTCTATTTACTCTGTGATTGAAAGCGCGCTGTGTGCAAATAACGTAGAATGGAAACGAATACGAAATAAAAAATGTTTGTAATCATACTCACAAAAATATTCATTTAAGTCAAATGAAAAGTATTTATTCGTTTCTAGATGAACTAAAAGGAATGTGTTCATTATTCATTATTCATTATACATTTATTTATTTGAATATTAGGTGTTCATCAGGTACACTATAATTGGACGAAAAGCTAAAAATGTTAAATATTAAGCTTTTATTGGCACAATTTTAAATGAATTCGTTGTTTATAAAAATTTAACAAAACAAATTTATTTAAAGTAATACATATCATACATTAAATGGTAATTAATATTTAACATTTTCGTCATTTAATCAACAATTGAACGGTCTTTACTCGTTCTCAAAATTGTTATTTAATCAAAGTTATATAATCTTTGAAATCGTTCTTTGAACCTTTGAAACATATATAAATTTATCTTTTGTAATAAAGTATATGTATGTATTACACACTTAGAACCTGTGTTGGCTCTTAAAAGTTTTTCTCTTTAATGTATTAATTCACTCATTAGAGCCTTATCTGAATTATATATATATATATTTGTTTTTGAAATCTCTCATATCTACTTATCAATATGTATGTAATATCACATGCATATCAAGTTGTACATATATATATATATATATATATATATAGCAACTTCTTTTCTTTAATAGTAACTAATCGTTCACAATGAACGTAGTATTTGGTTTTTTGTTCGTTTGTTTGGCTGCAGTCAGCCGTGGTAAGTGGCAACAAATACAAAACAGACATTTTAGGTACAAATATTAATTAGTAGTAAAATCGATTTATTACTTTGTAAAATTTGAAAATTATCTCTGATTTTATTTGGTGATGTAAATTATAACATAATTAATATAAAATAATGTTTCCGTAAACTTAAAAATAAAATATTTATTTTGTTACATTTATATTGATTTTACATATTTTTTAATATATTTTCTAATATATTTCATTAAAATTAAAATTAAATTAATGTTTTTAAAGATTGTGTAAAAATACATTTGGTATATATCTGACACGTACGGTCCTATGAAATTTAATATTGTTAACACTTTATTTATATATAAAACTTATACACACAAACAATCAAGTATAAGACGTCAATTATAGCATATCTAATTTAGTATGATGTTGTTTTTTCTGTATGTATAACAATATAAATATAATAGAATTTTTAAATTATTTTAATTTAACTGTGTTTCATTTATAGTTTTAGTTTTTAAATTTGTATTTTTATTAAAATGCATTTTTTTATTTCTATAGTATATCATAGAAACAGAGAATATTTAATTAGAATATAAGTAATCAATAACATACACAAATATATTTTTTTATAATTTTATTAAAAATTTGATATTATCTCCATTAAAATTAGAATAATTGAATCTTTGTAATATACGATTTCTAAAGACATCACATTTTCTGCTTAATCTCATGTTTAAAAAAATAATTTTAGCTTGCAAAGTCTTTGGTATGAGTATATAATAAAAATGTAATCACAAGAAAAACATTTAAATAAAGTTTACAGCAAAAATTATATGCTAAAAATCTGTTCAGCTGAGGATTCCTATATTGTCGGTGGATCTGATGCTTTAGATGGAGCCCATCCTTATATAGTGTCTCTGAGACGAAATAATCGTCATTTTTGTGGAGGATCCATTATTTCAAAACATTATATTCTCACCGCGGGTCACTGTATTACAGTGTAGGTATTGCCTTTGCACAACGTGCAAAATAAGACTTAAAATTCCTTCGCTAAATCATGAAACACTTCAATATTTGATTTAGCTAATGCTTGATTATTTGAATTTTTTATTATTCTGATTTTCCAGATTTTCTTGAAAAAATTTTAAATATATACTCTTATAAATATTTAAATTCGTCATGCTTCGGCTGTATTTATTATACATTTCTTATTTTTGAATAATTATCTAATGTTAACTAATTAAATTTAATGAAGCAATTACAAATCAATATTAATTTTTATTTATATTATATAATACATATATAATTCTTATAATTTATAATTTTGTGTCACATAGACTTGAAGATCCAATAAATCTCGAAAACGTAACAGTTCACGCTGGCACGAATCGTTTAAGTGAATACGGTTATGTTTACATTCCTGAAGCAGTAATTGTCCATCCTGATTTTAAACGTTCCCTGATACACAACGATATTGGTTTGATCCGCCTAAAAACAGACATACAATATAATAAATTAGTGCAACCAATCTCTCTCGCAAAGACGAATTCCATTTTGGTTGGCGATCCTTGCTTCTTAATAGGGTGGGGAACAACCAAGGTAAGAGGAATAACAAGCTTTATCTTAATAAGTAATCGACACACATTTTATTACATTTGTGAGACAGCATGTATAAATATATATTACATAAAGTATTTTACTATACTTACTAGTCAAATCATTATGTTGTTAATGAGATATAAATGTAAATTATGAAAAAATCTATAATAGTGTCTTTTTGAACTTGATAAAGTGTATACCCTACCGTAAATTTGGTATAAGAATCGTATATGAAGGGTTCAAATTCGTATATGAAAGACATACGAATCATATCTGATCGTATGCGATAACATGTTAATTGCATGATCGTATATGATTTGTATACGATTCGTATACGATTCGTATACGACTCGTGTAAGATTCGCATATACTTCATAAACGATCGGATATGAATCGTATGTCTTTCATATCCTGTTCACATACGATCTTATCCCATTTACGTATACCATGACATATGATTTTGTCTTATGCGACTTTCACGGTAGGGTATGTATATCTCTTTACATTTTTTTTTATATTTCTTCGATTATTTTTACAGTTTTTAGGCAAACTTTCTGATAAACTTCAAATAGTTAATCAGCAAATTTACTCACAATCAAAATGCAACAATGTATTTTGGAATTTGCAATCCAGTCATATCTGCGCATTTTCACAATCTGGACAAGGAGCGTGTCATGTGAGTATGGATAATTGTTTTTAATTAAATGTACATAATATATTAACGAAATAATTGTAATTTTATAAATAAGAAATTATTAAATCATTATATAAGCTTCTAAAAATTTCAATGAGTTGATTAATATTATCTTATTTGTTAATTTACTATTTTATCTCATACAAATTCGATAAGTAATATATTATGTATATTTTTTATTGTGAATTCTACATTTTAAAAATGTGAATTAGCAATTATTCTTTTGTGACATTAAGCATTGCAGCATCATTTCTAAGAAATGTCTTTTTCAGGGTGATTCCGGTAGTCCGCTAGTCGCCAATGGCATTCAAATTGGCTTTGCCTCATTTGTTCGACCATGCGCTAAAGGATTTCCGGACGTGTACACTAGAATATTCTCTTTTACGAATTGGCTCGCCCAATACATCAGTATTTAAAATATATCAGTATATCAGTATCTGAATAAAGAAATAATTGTATCATCTTAGTATTTAGAAAATAAAATTATTATATTGATAAATGTTTTAATATTTTTAAAATATTTCTATAAATATCCTTTATTTAAGTTTGTTTTTACAATACGTTATAAAATGACAAGCACATTTTGATCAGATATAATATCACTCAAATATCTATTAATCTCGTAATCATATCTGTTAATTTTATATTAAAAACAAAGCATGATATAGATTTGATGATAAAAATTATACGGATCATTAATATTGTAAAGAAGACAAATATAATTCATAAAGCACACATCATTAAAGATAATTAGTATTTATTTTTTAAATATTAAGAATATTATAAAAATTTTACAGATTATTCTTTATAGTATGTTCAATTTATAACAAAATTCGAGGTAAATTCATTGAAGTAATCTAAATTAAATTACAAAGATTTTAATTTGCAACAGATTTACTTGTGATATTCTATGGAAATCGTTATCGGTTTTAATTTAGAATATTTTTTATTTTTGTTTTTCTCTCTCTCTCTCTCTTTAAAATTTTATGCTTTTTTGCAACTTAAATGTGAATTTCTGCTTGCTAGACACGAATCAGTTATCAAAATTAGCTAACATGTCACAATTAAAACAAATGGCGCAAAAAATGACAGTTTTGTGAATTTTAACGACAATGGGTTTTCATGACTAGTTTTTCAGTACAATGTTTATGTATTAATTTGAGAACTTTTTAAAATCTGCATATGTCGGGTTTATCAATTATAAATGGGTTAAATTTTTACAAATAGTAAAAAAAATAGGTTTTTAAAACGTTTCTTTCAAATCTGTGATTTTAATGCAAATAATGCAAAAAAAACTTTAATAAATAATACAAAAAAATTTTTTATTTTTTCAAATTTTGACTATTTTTCCAATTTGTACATTATTATATTTCTCTCATCTCTGACCTCAAGTAATGTTGGTACCTAACGTTCCAATTAATTTTAAATTACTAAAATAATATTAAAAAAAAAAGAGTTTAATGACATGTTCTTTTAAATTTTATATGCTATTTAATTTTATATAAAATAATTTAATAAAAATACACACTAGAAAATACATGTTTTTACGATTAATTATACTTTATAAAATTTAATAAAATTATATAGACAAATGTCTGATTAATATTATGCTTTTGCCATCAATATAGTCTGTATATACATATAGATATGAATGTTGTAAATAACAACGTACTTAGTTTGTGCAAATTTCCTATCGATATATACTCAGATAAATTAGAGTACAGTGATGATTTTAATCTACGATGTAGGATATAAATTGAAGATAACATGTCCATCGTACCATAGTGCTTATAGCTATGAATGCTATCGTTGGTCTTATAATCGCGTGTCTGGTGCTCACCACTCACGGCAAGTAGTATTTATCATAACAATATTATGCGTTCATTATATAATCCTTTTAGCGTTCTAAATAAATCTGAAAAAATTTTCATACAAAACTTTACTTTTTAGAATTCTAAATTTTTTTTAACAGTCTAATTCATAAGCGTAAACATCATAATGATTATTTAATAAATTTAGCACTTGTATCTTCTTATTGTCAGTAATGCAAGCCCAAGATAATATTTGCATCATATTTATCATTTTTTTAAACATAAAACAAAGATAAATGGCTTATGTAACAGTCAATCCCAACTGATATGTCGAAAACAACATAAAAATTCTTTTGGTTGATAGGTTTGCTAGATCCGCTAATCGTTGGTGGTAATGACGCTCTGGATGGCGCATATCCTTATCAAGTGTCATTGAGAAATGATCCATTAAATTCTTCGTCTCATTTTTGTGGTGGAGCCATTATAAGTAAATATTACATTATTACAACTGCCTATTGTATTGATAGGTATGTATGTACATTCTTATTTAGTTCAAATATTTTTAATTACGTTTTATTTGAATAATTACGAAAGATTTTTATGAAATTACATAGATTAATAATATTTTTTAAATATGGCAAAGATCGATTAATAATATAAAATTTTCAACTCCTATAATATGTGTATATATATATATGTATATTTACTTAATAAAACAATACTGTTCCAAGAGGATCCTGGAGTCATATGTTCGTTTTACCGATTAAAGTACTATTTTGTTACATAAGTTATATTACAGTTACACAGAATTAAAACTTCTTTTTCCATCATTAAAATACGTATATTAATGTATCTGGTTCTGGTCTATTTTTTGCCAAAAAACAAAAGAATAAGAAATTACAAATTTTCTTAATCAAGAAATACGATAGTGTCTCGCGCTAAGTAAACGCGAAGAGAGATCGTACCGTATATTTACGCGAGTCGGTGAGTTTCGAGCACCAGAGATTATTGGATCTCACAATAAACGGCTGAATTAATCGACTTCTTAGTATTCTTAATTTATTCAGAAGTTTAAATTTTATAATAAAATTGTTTTTTATGGCCTATATACACTACGAATGGAGATATTACGATGCGAAGTCTGAACTGTCAAATTTTGATATCAAGATATGTCATCATCATTATCGCCCTCAGAAATGTTGTCTCATTCACATTTTAAACGTCAGATGGCACTCGTTAGCATATCTTATTTTATATATTGATGTAAATACAAATTATTTTATTTACCTCTTTTATAAAAAGGTAAAAGGCGCCATGTATACGCGCTTCTAGGTGTGCTCCTTGAAGAAAAAAAGGACTTTCCATTCCAAACTATACGACTATCAAATAATTTTTTTCAAAAAATATGTGAAGTCTTTTAATTGCGCCAATTATAAACAAAAAATACATTAAACTATCAAATCAATAATAACTTTTCCAAACCTATTCCAAACCTATTTTCCAAATAACTATCAAAATAATAATTATTTAAAAATAATAATAACTATTCCAAACATACTTTTTAAACTATCAAAATAATTATTTTTTTTCAAAACTGAAATTATTCTAACGTCGTTTTATGCCTATAATGATATTATATCATATATGTATGATCTTCTAACTCTATACGTATTATTATAAGTCGTATTTAATTGGTAAAACAACAATCGGAATTTGAGGGATACACCAATATCCCTTTAATCATTGGTATTATTGAATTTGAATTAAATACAAATATTAAATAATTATCATTTGTATTGGTCCGTTAGTTTTGTCGAGAATCCTTATCAAGTTTATGTCGTCGTTGGAAGCAATTACCTTAACGCAACTGATGTGGACGTTTATCAAGCGGTAGACTTGATAGTACATGCTGGTTTCAATATCTTGCTACGTGTTCACGATATTGGTTTAATTCGAGTAAAGAACAGTATCACATTTAACGCTAACGTTCAACCAATTGCTTTGTCAACTACCAATCGCAATTTCGATGATTATCCTCTCTTATTCACTGGCTGGGGAGATCTCTGGGTAAATTTGAAAACATTATAAATCCTTACGATTTTTCTTTTCCCAAATCATTTCTTTAGTTAATATAAAATTTAAAAAATAAATGTTTTTAATGTTTTACAAAAAAATGTTGATACAACATTGTTAATTTATAACTTATAGTACAAAACATATAAATTTAATAAACTAGAATATGTTAAATAAATTAACCATTTTGTAGTCGGGCAGTCCAGTTCCTAATCGTTTACAAGAAATTATAGTAAAAGGATATTCCCAGGAGTTATGTAGCAGATATCCACACGTCAAAGAGACTCACATATGTATCTTCACAATGGAGAACGAAGGATCTTGCCACGTAAGTAATCATGAAATAAACAGTACATGATATCTGTTATAATATGAAAAAAACAAGTTTATCAAAAGAATTGCACAATTGCTACCGTTTTATCTATAAATTAATATCTAAAAATAAAAATAGAAAATTTTTTATCGTTTATCACATTTTTCCTTAGAATTTAATAACTTTTATCAGATGTTACTATACGCTTTTCTCACAAAATCGGAAAGTTTTAATCAGTTACATGTTTTATCGACAAAAATTTAAAACATAATTTATAAAATTATTGCAGTCTCTCCAACAAATCATATATGTAAATAAAATATTTTATCAAGCATTATTAAATAAAATAAATTGTTTTAATAGGGTGATGCTGGTAGTCCACTCGTTGCTGATAGCATTTTAGTTGGTCTCATATCATATAGTTACGGCCCATGCGGTACAGGTGCTCCCGATGTATCTACCAGAATATTTTCCTATCGATCATGGATTAAATACTACACAGAAATTTGATGTACTGTAATAGATCTGTATACCATCAAATATCATTCTGAAATTTTTTTACAATTACAACATTTATTGTTTTAAAACAGCAAGTATCAACGACTAGCAATTTTTGTTTAATAAATCATTATACGAAGATACTACATAACATTTTTATTTATAAACAGATTTTTGCGCATAAATTAAATTTAGATAAAAATTCAAGGAATTTCATAATATATAGAATAATATTTTTTACAATTTATAAAAATTGGATTTATTTCTCATAAAAATAAATTAAACCAAAACTATAATTATTTAATATTAGTGACTACGTATGTATTTAATTGTAATTTATTTTAACTCGTATAAAAAATAGATAATTATTTTTATATCTATCTGAATACAATTTTGATTTTATAGTCATAACATCTTTGCTATTATATACTTAATAAGACTTAATTTTTAATTTTAAATTTTTAATAAGACTCATTCTAAAATGTTCTATTGTTATATTTCTTTGAACACGTATTATATCCTTCTTATAACACATATCCTGGACGATAATATATATTTTACAAACATATACGAGGGTCGTCTGAAAAGTTTTGAGCCTCATCATGAAGATAGCGTTACTCGTCAAAGCCATTCTAGTGTTATAATCGTGATACTTACGAAAGATATCTGTGACAATTGTGGGCCACTTTGGACGTTCAGTTCTTGTTTGACAATCATTTGTGTCATTTTGTAAAAATGGAAAAAATTGAATATCGTGCTATAATTAAATTCTTGCATTTGAAAGGCAATACGTCTACGTAAATTAAAGCCGAGATGAAAGATAATTTTATCGAGATAATGAAAAACACTATTTATAAGAAGGTAACATGTTTTACGCTCCTCAGTTATCACTATGTTTTCTATCACCTGCAGTCTTATAACTGCGTGTCTAATGTATCATACTGCTTATGGTAAGTATATTTGAGAAAATCGATTATATTAAAAGGCTGCTAGGCGTCATCTGTTTTACTAATTGAACGCGATTACACACATAATATACATGTAATGTATACATATCAGAGTTGGGAAAGTTACTTTACAAGTTACTTATAAGTTACTTTTTATTATAGAAATTGAGTACAATTAGTTTGAGTATTTTATTTTTTATATTATATTTTATTATTTATTTCAATTTTGTATTACTTTTTGTACTCAATTTCTATAATAAACATATAAGGTATAAACCAAAAAAAAATAATTTTCTCGACCTTGATATATACTCGTATATTTATGATTTACGATACATCACACATATTACTATACACAACATATATTTAATATACATAATATACATAAATTTTCATATAAACTTTTTGTACCAATTTTCTTTGTTTTTATTGTAATATAAGGAATCAATTTTAATTACAATATTATAGTTATTTGTAACATATAAGAAAAATTGTTATAAAAAAATTATTGCGTTTAATCAGTAAAACAGACATTAGCATTTCCTTAATAGAAAAGCATGAGGAGATACAACTTACAATAATATTGCTCAGATTAACATTGAGCAGATATACGATTTAGGCTACCAATCTGCCAGATTATGTACATTCATACAGATATCCTGTTTGGTTTTTGCTGCTAAATAATCTACTATCAGATTAAATCTCAGCTTAACGCTGTATAATTATTTTTTCTTACCGCCAAGTCTGAGTACGAGCACAGTCTTTTGACACGTTTCGATCAAATCTGTTGTCTGTCTACTGACATTCTGCTAACATCCTTTATTTACGAGGTAGTAGGCGGGATCGATGCTCCGGATGGCAAGTACCCTTATCAAGTATCATTGAAGGATGCAGTTACTGGAAAGCATTTTTGTGGTGGAGCCATTGTCAGCCAGAAATATGTTATAACCGCAGCACACTGTTTAGAGTATGTACAATATTCTCTTTTTCTCTGAGTCTCAGAACATTCAAGTATCTTATTCTTAATCAAGAAACTATTACATTTTTTTATGTTTATAATTTTATGAGTAAAAGAACAAATTAAGTTATATCACACGTGCACATTATTACATATTATTTAAATGCAAATTTAATAGAATGAAATTAGAAAACGATAAAGTTTTGGAATAGTATGCAATAATTTTCAATATTCTCGAGAAATACGCGATTTATATTATTTATATGTATTTAATTAAAAATTGAAATATCTCTTTTTTTTAATTTTCTAAGGAGGGCATTGTTTATTATTTAGAAAACAATTTTTTATTGCTTTTGCTTAAAAATTGACTTATAAGTGAAAAATATATTAATATATTTATACTATCGGTATGTAATGATAGAGTCTTTCTCTAACAGAGATCGAGTAGAACGTAATGTAGTTTATCAACTGTCAATTTAATGTTTATTAACTGTGTTTGCATTAGGCGTGTGTTGACATAATCTCTCGACAATCTGTTGCTAGATCATAAATAGGTTTTATTTTGTTTTTAATTTTTACTGACAGTTTAGCATCACGTTATATGAGCATGGTTTGCTCGAGACGTATTAGGTATAGACCACTCATTTTCTTTACGTTCATAGTCTATTTGGTTTTTATATAATCTGCTATTATATAGATTTAGATCATACAATACTATAGTCCTGCTTTATTTCATCCGCCAGTTTATTATTTAATTTTATTTGTAAACTCTGTTACATTTCTTTTAGCAGTCTGTCAATGTTGTGTGTGTGTGTGTGTGTGTGTGTGTGTGTGTGTGTGTGTGTGTGTATTTTGTGTGTGCGTCTCAATTTTGTTGCCATTTTACTGACATAATGTAGGCTAATACTATAAAACCTGCTTTTGATAAGCTTTTTCTATCCGAAAAAAATTAATGTTTTAAATTAGCTTTTAAATTTTAAATAAATCCAAAATAGTCAAAATCTTCACTAATTGTTACAGTACCTACGATTCAACTGATATTCTTGTCGATGTTGGAAGCACTCGTCTTTATTGCCCTGTTGATATACAGCGATACAGAGCGGATAAGCTAATATTATACCCTCATTTCAACAAAACGCTGCATATGAACGATATTGGTCTAATTAGACTAACAAAAGATATCAGGTTTAGTGAAACCATCAAACCGATAGCTTTAATATCTTACGATCGTAATTTTACGGATATTGATTTTATAGTCACTGGCTGGGGAGAACTCTGGGTAAATATAAGAAGTACATCTCACATCTTATTATAATTATTTAAAATTATGTATAAGAAGCTTTTAGGGTATAAAGTTTATTCTTTGTAGCTAAACTAATGTGTACCTACTGGACTTAAAATAAAAAAATATATGCATACATACATATACATATTGCAGTTAAGTTAAAGCGAGATAGAAAGTTTTAGTGTAATTCGGTGTAGCGACAAAGAACAGATCTAAGGATAATTTCTATTTAAAAATCAAGGCATATCAAGCACATTAAGTTGAAAACACTATTTTTTAGTGGGATGGCCCGACTCTAGAACGCCTGCAACAGACTATGTTGACGGGATTTTCTCACAAAAAATGCGCTCTTGCACACAAAGATATCACCGATAATCACATATGCACCTTTGGAGCATGGTATGATCGTCAAAAAATAATATGCCATGTAAGTATATAATTATAAAATAAATATTGTACATGTTTATACCTTATAACAATTAATCTTTATACCTAATGACAAATAATCTTTATCTCTCTATAAGTTATATAAAAAAAATTTTTACACAGTAACAAAAGAAAAGTAGTTGTTTTATCTGCTCTTTGATATGAGATAAGTATCAGAGAATGACGAATAAAGGTTTCTCCTAGGTTGTTCAGATAATTAATTTGTTAGGGATAGTTATTTCTGATAAAAATTGATTAATAGTTTTATTAAAAAAACAACTTTAAAGTCACATGGTACTTATTTATATCATATATCTACTGATATCTACAGAATCAATATATTAATGAAAAATTCTGATGTAATATAAAATATGCTATCTCGACAGGGTGATTCCGGTGGCCCGCTTACTTTTGAAGGTGCCCTAGCTGGCATCGTGTCTTTTGGTATATTACCGTGTATCAGTGGCTTCCCAGTTGTATCCACCAGGGTATACAACTACAGAGAGTGGGTCAATGAGTACATTAATACAAGTAGCAACCAACAATCGAACATCATTCTTGGACTTTTTACGATGTACCTATCTATATATTTATTTTTGTAAACATGCATATATTTCATGCGTACGCCTGTGATCAATCATCAATTTTAATTATTTATAAGTGATATATCAAGACGAAAATCTAATTTAAAATAATTATTTTGTAGCTGATGATTATGTATGTATGTGTGTGTGTTTTACAAATGTATACATATATTATTATCTATAACGAAAGATCAATTTTATAAATTATAATTTATAATATTATCTGCAATAATATAATTCTTTCTTAAGTAATTTTAATTTATATATATATACATACAATATACTTACATATGATCCAATTATATAATATATACAAAATTGAAATTATTTATTCATATTAAATGTATTCAAATAGCACAGATAATCGTTATGTGTTTAAAAAGAATTCATTTTCATTTATAAATTAGCGCAATTTATTTAAAATAAATTCGAAAAAATTATTCACACATTAGTATTATCGTGAAACGATCAATAAAAGTGATTATTTTTCGTAAATATATAAGAATTATACAAGATAAGATATAAAAAGCATTAATCTTTTACTTTTAATTTTACTGTTCTAATGACATGATTTTTTAAAGACATTTCCCCGAAATATTACCCTATAATAAAATTAATAAAAATAAATGAAATGTATTTTGACAGTTTAATTTGATTTAAAACGCATTAGAGAGATTTGGAACTGAGTTACCTCTCTTCTTTAGATACGTAGATGACATCGCTACAGTAGTATCTTATCACTTAATTAATAATATTTTTGAAATTTTTGACTTATTACTTCCCAGACTAGAATTTACTTTAGAGTATGAAGGAGATAGATTGAACTTTTTAGATATCACAATCCTAAATGTCAATAGAGTATTAGAATTTAACTTATTTCATAAATCAACGTTTCCTGGAAGGTACCTCAATTTCTAGTCTCTCTATCCTTTCTCACAAAAAAGGGATGTTCTGAATTCTGATGAGCATGGATAGAGCATTCTTATTGTCATATCCTAAATCATGAAGAAAATTTGTGTGTGTGTGAGGTTTATTATTGAGACTTTTTTGAGCAATGATTATCTCATCAATTTCATTTTTGACACAGTTAACTCTTGTCTAAAATCCATATTAAAACAAAAGACACTTAAACAAGCAGATTTCATAGAACCAAAGAATGATGAGAAAGAAAAATAATGAATAAAAAAATATATAGATTCTAAAAATGGATTCCTTATAATTAAATATAACAATACGAATTTAGGGGCTATTTAAGAGTCAGCGCAATAAGAATAGCGCAAACATTAAATTATAAAATATATTTTATTATAATCTAGAAGATACAAATAAATTTAGACGTTTTGGCCATTGGTTTTAGCCATCCTCAGCAAAAAGTATAAAATACAGTATTTTAATTTCGATGGTTTTATTCATCAAGCATTAAAATTGTCAAAGTAATCCATACTAAATTTACGGCAAGCACAATCATTCGCCTTTGAAGTTGATAAGCTTCCTAGTGACATGATTCTGTTTTTTCTGTGTAAAATTTAAGTGTGTGTTACAATAATTAATTACATTGGATTAAAATAAAGCAAAAAATTTTGCTTGCTGTAAATTTTGGGCAGTTGAATTTAAACGTGGCCGTACTAGCTTGGATGACGATGAACGTTTGAGACGGCCGAAAACTGCAACCATTGACGATAACATCGCTCAAGTTCACCAAATGTCCAAAGAACGTGTTTGTCACATATTGAATCAAAATTTAGGCATGAGAAAGCTAACCGTGCATTGTTGGGTGCCGCGTTTGCTCATTCCGGACTAAAAACTCGTCTCACACCTCAGCGGTTGCCATGGCGAAAATCTACGAATTACGGGTTTTTCTTTTTTTACGAACTGCTTGACCACCCTCCTTACTCACCAGATCTAACCCCAAGCGGCTTTTTCTTGTTCCCTAAGCTAAAAGTTGTGCTCGGAGAACAGAGATTTTCGTCGAATGAGGAGACCATCACCTTCGTAAACAACTATTTTGCAGAAAAAGACGCCAAGTACTATTTGGGCAGGTTGAAGAGATGGGAGCATCGCTGGGAGAAGTGTATAGACTTACAAGGAAACTATGCAGAAAAATAAAAATAAATTTGAAAAGAAAAATGTCTTGTTCCTTTGTTAGGTCAGAAACTTTTCAGACAACTCATGTACATAGCGCTAGCAGCCGACTACAATGGACGTAGCTGCGGTGAGATATATGTACAAAGAAAGATGTCGAGAGATTCGAAATCCGTATTCAGCCAAATTTCGAACCCAGGAAAAATCCAGATATCCGGTTCAATCGATCAATATTTTACTTTAGATCTATCTCTATCTCGGATATGCGGACAGTTATCAATCCTAATTTAAATGTATTAATATATAAAATATAAAATATAATATAAAATATGTATATTTATAACGTAAAGCAATTTATCCTTCCATTATTCTAAAAAATTACTTCTTTTATTTTACTATTCTAAGAAACTAGTTACCTATGATTGTAAAATGAATAGTGTTGATTCAACAGTAAAAAACTTATATCATCCTTGACAATTCTGCAAACATATACACCCCTTATTATACGTGCACGCGAAGATAACGGGCCGATACGAACAAATTGATAACGTCAATTGGTTATATAAATGGAAGATTACGTGTTTTGCGCATTTCAGTATAACTATCTACCACTATGTTTTCTATCACAGGTCTCATAATCACATGTTTAATATATCACACCGTTTATGGTAAGTGTCTATTTGTTATATTTGTGAAAATCTTGTTGAGACATTTTGAGATGCAAATTTTAACATATTATAATCTTTAATACATCACAAATAATTCGAATATCATAATAATATTGATAAGATTAATATCGACCATATGTTATATAATTTAATTTTGTCCCATAATCGTGTTCATCTAAATAAGCATTAATAACTGTGTATTTTATATAAGTTGAAATATCTTAATAAAAATTATTTGAGGAATTAATTCGATGAATCACACATTTATTGTAAAATGACACAGCTATTTAATTGGCATTTGTCATAATATTTTAAAAACAATGCATGTAGCAATTCTGTTACTTCTAAAAAAAATTTTAGTAAAATATATGTACTTACTCGAAATTTACTCCGTGCTTGTTATATTTTAAAACAGAACTGTATAAATTATATAAAAAATACATGTTAAAATAAAGGGAAAAGTTAATATGTAAGGAAACAAAATTTTCTAATGGAGTTTAAAATTGATATTTTTAATAAAATATTATTAAAACAAAACTTTTTTCATCAATAGGTGTGCCAGATACGCAAATCGTAGGCGGCACAAATGCTTCAGAGAGCAGATATCCTTATCAAGCGTCATTGAAATATAATGGAAACCATGTTTGCGGTGGAGCTATCATTCACAAGAAATATGTTATCACCGCGGCGCATTGTTTAGTGGGGTATGTGGGTGTTTTCTTTTCTTCTCAGTTCCAAAAAAACATTCTCTCAATTGTCTATTACTATATAATTCTTAATTAAATAAGTATTGTATCTTATACATTTGCAATTTTATTGGTAAAAGAGCAAAGTTTTTTTTGTAATTATGTATACTCGTATTTAAAGGCAAATTTAACGGAATAAAATTATGAGGAAACGGGAAAGAAGGATAATAAAATTTAACCAAAGTTTATCTGCTTAAAGAAAACGATCAGCCTATCTTTATTTTTCTAGACCAGCTGAACTCGAATATAAAACTTCAAAATTATCTAAAATTCATTACATCTAAATTTCATTTCTAAAAACAAAATGTTTCTACATACAAAACCTCGTTTTGTAACAAAGATATTCTAATAATCAAATAGTATCTAACTGTATGTAAAAAAAAGTGTTCTTTTATTGATGTCTTTAAGAGAGAGAGAGAGAGAGAGAGAGAGAGAGAGAGAGAGAGAGAGAGA